TTGAGTTTACTTTTGTGTGTGGTGTGAGGCAAGAGTCCAGCTTCATTCTTGTGGGTGTGGACACTCACTCCTCACGGCCCTGTTGGTTGAAGAGACTGTCCCTTTCTCCTGCATCACCTTGGTGCTCCATCAAAGACCCTTTGACCCTTTGGGGGAGTTTCTGTTTCTGGGCTTCTATTCTGTTCCATTGGTCTTTATTCCAGTGTCATATTATTTAGATCCCTTGAGCTTTGTAGTACGTTTTGAAATCAGGAAGTGTGAAGTCTCCGTCTTCGCTTCTCTCTCATTATTGCATTGGCTATTTGGGATCCTTTGCAATTCCCATTTTAGTATTTTTTACTGTTTCTGAAAAGTTCCTTTGACATTTTGATAGGGATCATGCTGAGTCTGATTACCTTTGACTTTGCCTGGGGTTTTATGGACATTTCCACATCATTGTGACTGAACATGGGGATGCCATTTATTGATATGTTTTTAAATTTCTATCAGCACTGTTTTGTGGGTTTCAGGATACAATCTTTTGCCTCCTTGGTTAAATTGATTTCTATGTATTTTATTCCTTTTGATGCTGTCATTTTGTTTATTTTCTTTTTGTATATTTCGTTGTTAGTGTATAGAAATGCAAATGATTTCTGTGCATTGGCTTTATATTCAGCAACTTTGCTGCATTCTATTACTAATTCTAACAATCTCTCTCTCTCTCTCTCTATCTGTATGTGCACGTGTTTTTGCAATCTTTAGTGTTTTCTGTATATAAGGTCATGTCATCTGTGAACAGAGATAATTTTACTTCTTCCTTTCCAATTTGGATGAATTTAATTTTATTTTCTTGTCCAGAGCAGGACTTTTCATATTATGTTAATAGAAGTTGTGAGAAAGGGTATAATTGCCTCTTTCCTGATTTTAGAAAGACTCCAGCTTTTCACCATTGGGTATGATGCTAGCTGTGGGTTTTCCCTACATGGACTTTATCATGCTAATGCAATTTCCTTTTATTTTGTTGAGGGTTTTGTTAAATTATTAAAGATTGCTCAATTTTGTCAAATGCATTTCTGCATTAATTGAGATGATCATGTGATTTACGCCCTTAATTCTATCAATGTGATGTATCACCTTGATTTTTATATGTTGAACCATCCTTGCATTCCTGGAGTACAGCTTACTTTGTTATGATATATAATCCTTCTAACACATCCTTGAATTTGGTTTGCTAGTATTTGAGAATTTTTCATCAATATTCTTTTAGGGATGTGGGTCTGTAATTTTCTTTTCTTGTAGTATCTTTGCTTTATTTTGTTTTCAGGGTAATGCTGGCTTCATAAAATAAGTTTGGAAGTATTCACTCCTCTTTAATTTTTTTGGAGGAGTTTGAGAGGGTTGGTGTTAATATTTCTTTAAATGTTTGGTTGAATTCTCCAGTGAAGCCTTTTGCTCTTGGGCTTTTCTTTGTAGGAGGCTTTTGATAACTGATTCAAACTCCACCATAGTTATAAGTCAGTTCAGATTGTTTTTTTTTAAGAGAGAGAGAGAGAGAGAGAGAGAGAGAGAGAGAGAGAGAGAATTTTTTTTTAATATTTATTTTTTAGTTTTTGGTGGACACAACATCTTTGTTTGTATGTGGTGCTGAGAATCGAACCCGGGCCACACGCATGCCAGGCGAGCCACATCCCCAGCCCCAGATTGTTAAACAAGTTTTTCATGATTCAGTTTGATGGAGAGTGTATTTCTGGAAATGATTTCATTTTTCTAGGTTACCCATCTTGTGGGTGCATTTCTGTCCTCACTTCTTCCAGTTACCATTGAGTCTTGCTCATCTTACAACTTCTCAACAGTGGGAATGCTGTGCCAGCCATTTCCCAGGCCTGATTTACTCTAATCCCTCAGCCTGCTCAGGAATAGTCACAGCATCTTCCAGATGGGGATGTGAAACAAGGATGCAGGCATTTGGGATTTGGGGATACCACAATTTTAAAAGTTGCAATTGAAAATCCAACAGGTATTTGAAAACCAGAGAGAAAGAATTCAGCATCAGCATTCACATTGATGCTGAGTGTCTTTATATATTGTAATTCACTACAAGACCTTCTTTAAACCTTCATACTGTAACAATGAAATATAAATTGTGATGGTAACCAAATCTCCTTAGAGTAAATGCATTTCAGTTTCTTCAACCAAATGGAACTTCTTATGTAACTATGATCTACCTCATATCATTTGCAGTATCAGTGTGCCCAGTATGAGCAAAAAGTGCTCAGTAATGAGAGTTTTAATGGACGCATGATGCTGATGATGAGATTGGCTCTGGCCTCTCCCCTGGGACTCTTTGGAGAAACTATGGCCATCTTTAGATTCCAGCCCCCGGCTTGGTCACTGGGAGGTAGTGAGCTCTGCCATCAAGGGACATGGGTCCACACTTGCAATTAATGGAGTCCAAGAGAATCAGCATGGCCCAGGTGCAGTAGATGCCTGGGCGGATGGGGAGGACTTCAGTTGGTGCTTCACAGAAGCAAGAACTCAGAAAGACCACACTCAGTCATGAAGAGACCACTGCTCCCAAGCTGTGCACCTGGTTGCCTGGGATGTGAATAATTACTGTTGAAAAAGATGTTTTAAAGCACGTGTTTGGTCAATTCTGAGTTTAGTGAGTGTGGATTTCTTTATGTTGTTTCTTATTTCTCAGAGCTGCTGTGTGTTCAGTGTATTGTTTCCGGCAGGCTTGGGATCCAGGGCGTTCCAATCTCTGTTGCTATGGACCCCCTGCCTTTCCCCCTAGAACATTTCATGGATTGAGGTTCCATGGCATCTCCTTTTGGAAATGCTGAAAGAACCTGCCTTGGAAGAGAATGGTTCTTACTACTCTTCTGCATCAGGCATTTAGTAAGCAGGTGGCTGTATACTCCTCACAGGAGAGGTGTTAGCCTCGTTCCCGAGTTACAGATAAGATGGAAGATTAGAGCAATTAAGTGACCTTTCCAAGGAAGAGTGTGGTAGATCCAACGTCCAGATTTATCTGATTCCAGGCACCTGTCTTCCCCATACCACTGGGTCCTTTTCTGAATCCTAAAAACCAAAATGGAGGCTTTTAAACTAGATTGACAGCTGTCATGTAATCATGGAGTTGCCATGGAGAAAAAAAGAACCATTTTTTTTTCTTATCTCCATCTCATTAATCTTCAGATGCCATTTACCAGGTGGCTAATTAGTTGTGTGACTTTGGTCATTTAGGCTCTGAACCCCAGTTCTTCACTGTAAGCATGGGGGTAGGCAGCTACATAGAAGGATCATGCAAAGATAATGAGGTCAATTAGGACAAGTTGGCATGTGGTAGCTGAACGACTTTGATAACATTAAAAACAGTGGCTTGATGACATTCCAGACTGTGGGTGTTGCCAATGCCCTTCTCCCTCAGCACTGTCATCTCAACTCCTGACCAGAGAAGCCCTGACCAGTCTGGCAAGAAGAGTCTCTGTCATGCAGGTTGCAGGCAGGATCAACTACACAGCTTCTGGGACCAGTGCCCAGTGGGAAGGAGAGTCTCCTCTGAAAGTCCTTAAGAATTTCAAGACAGACACAGCCAAGTGTTAGGCCAGGTCCTGGGGCCTCTGAGCACAGGGTCCTGCTGTAGCTGAGCCTAGACAGGAGAAACCAGAGCATTGAGCTGAGAGGAGGAGAAAAGACGTGCTGACCTGGCCGGGGCACTTCAGCCTTGGCAGAAAGAGCAGGGCAGCTCTCTGGAGGGGACTGAGGAAATCTCAGCCACCTGGATGTTCTCTGGATTGGGGAGAGGAGGGTGAGGGGACCGATTCGAGGCCTCGAGGTAGGCAGGGAAGATGTTGGCAAGGGGGTCTGATGACACGGCTCCCGAGGCCACATGATCCTGAACATGGCTGCCTGGGAGTCACAGAGCAGCCACCAGCTGGTGCGCCGTGTGGGAGACTGTGGCAAGCAGCTGGCCCTCGGGTCTGGCTCTGCAGCCTGGTTAATTGAACCTCCCTGGCTTGTTCCACTGTGAGGTTGCTCTTGGCATCCAGCGGGGCAAGTGTTGAATAGCCTCAGGGAGAGGGCAAGGTTTGAAATCATGCCGTGCCATGGTTGGCCTTGCTCATGCTCTGACTTGGTCAAAGCCCCTTCTCTCCATGAGCTGAAGCTTTCCTCAGTGACTCCTTTATACATGATTTATAAGCAGAAGCTGGCTGTCACACCCTGCCACCTTTCTGCGAGGACCTGTGCTCCTGACCAGGTAGGAGCCTTTTCTTCCCACCATTTGCTCAGGAATATGCTATTTCCAAATTGCTGCCTGCCTCGGTTTGGGAGGAAGAAGGCATACTTCTTTACACAGTCAAAATAATGTAATCACTAGGTTCAAAGACGCCCATTCACATGTTTAAATAAAACTGCTTTTCACAATGGGAATACATCTTGGTTCATTTGTTATTAATGAGTATAAAGAGGATGCTTTCAACTTGTGGTGAAACCACTGTCAGCGTCCATCAGAAAATGTGGCCGTGCTCCTCACACTCTGTAAGAACGTCCAGCCAGGAAGTCAGCAGCTCATTACAAGGGGATCCATGACCCGTCTGCAAAAGGTCTCCTGGGACAGAGCTCCATCTGGCTACCTCAACATGCACTGCCCTCTCTGCCTCCCTCCTCTCTTAAGGCTTCCAAGACAGAGATGCCAAAGCATCCAGCCGGGCTCTGGGTCCCTCCCTGTGTGTGTCTGCAGCTGTATGTTCCTGAGCCATGAGGTGCATGACTGTGTATCTGTTTTTGTCCATCCGTCCATCCAGCCATCTACTCACCTACCTACCTATTTATCATCTGTCTATTCTTTGCTGGTTTAAAAAAATGGATCAGATACAAAGCCCCCTGGGAGGTCTAAAAGGACATAAAAAGTACCATATTTTGAGGAATTTTTAAGCATGAGAATTAGAAAACCCAACCATTCTCTTCTGCCCTATTTTCTCTTTTAGGTTCAGACTTGGTGCTTAGACAAATCCACAATGAGGAAGCATCGGCATTTGCCCTTAGTGGCCATCCTTTGCCTCTTTCTCTCAGGCTTTTCCGTGACCTATGCCCAACAGCAACAAGCAGGTAAGGTGCAGAAGTGCCCTTCACTTTATAAAAAGGAGTATCCTGTTCGGATTTTAGATCTTAGCCATCACAAGCTCCATATAGAGCTTAGGCCTGTTTTTAGACCAGCCATTTGTCGTAGGAGGTGGATTCAGCTTACAGACCCCTTGGATGCTCTTCACCTTTTCCTAAAACTTGAGTTTGATACCGTGGAGGTGGCTTGAAAGAGGCCTGCTCTTCCTGAGCGGGAGCGGGGGTTGGCGTCTCAGAAGTCCCACCTCCGGGGGAGCTTCCCGTGAGCTTGCCCCTGGAGGGGACAGACACCGAGGGGGAAAGGCTGTCCCTGGGGGAGAGGTAGAGCCCTCTCGTTATCTCTGGGCACAGAGGGAATTTTCCTCTAGCATCACGGGATCTTTACACATCTGTTTCCTAGAGCCATTTTCTTATAAGGTCCATCCTAGAGATCCTATTCGGAGTTTGCTTTAGAGTTTTAGAAAAGTGAGAAAACCTTCTTGCATTGCCAGTTGTGAGGCACTGACTGGGTCCCTCTCCTTTGCCTGGAGAGCAGGCCTCTGACGGGGCCTCTCCCCCGGGGCCAGGCTGCTCTAGATGCGCAGGTGAGTGCCCCCTCCATGGAAGGGGATGTGGGCTGGGGCCTCTGGTCAGCCCGAGGTAAGCAGAGTCCAGGAGCCTGCCTGGTGTGTGGGCCTGTCTCTGGGTCACTGACGGCCAGCTGCCCCGAGTCCCTACACTCGAGGAAGAACCAGATCCCCCTGTGAACAAGATCAGTGCCCTTCTGTGTCTGTGAAGCCCTTTACACAGTAACTAGTTAGAGAAGCTTTCTCCCTGCTCAGAAATCTGAGAAAAATGAGCCTTTTCCCTCTCTACACTTACACAGTTCTTTGCTACTTAAAAAAGATGTACTTGTTAATTTTTTTGCAAATTACCCACAACATTAGGGGTTAGTTCAGGTAAAACAGTGTAGTAGTCACATCACCTCCTTGTCAAGGCCCAATTTTATGCCCCAGATGGAGGAATGAGCCTCTAAGGCCACAGCTGGTCACCCATGGTAAGAGGTCCCTTTGGTCTGGTCAAGAGGGTCTTGGGGGTCAAACTGTGGTGAAGCTCATGCTTGAGTTCAAAGACACCTAGGAGGTTTCTCCCACTCTGGAGCAAGCTGCTGGCCCTGAATGTGGTCACTCAGTGTGGAACTTGGGCTGTACCACAGCTGTTGATTCCATGGGGCTGGGGCCCTGCTCCCCAGGTAAGTCCACCTGCCTGAATTGCATCAAGTGTGAGTCATTCAGTAACAGCATAGCATCAGCTGGACTGTTTAGGAAGTTTTGCACTGATAGGAAGTGATTTAATTGCTTGAACAGTAGAAAAATCTAAACCAATGTCTTTTTTTAAAGATGTCAAAAATGGTGCCGCTGCTGATATAATATTTCTAGTGGATTCCTCTTGGAGCATTGGAAAGGAACATTTCCAACTTGTTCGAGAGTTTCTATATGATGTTATAGAATCTTTAGCTGTGGGAGAGAATGATTTCCATTTTGCTCTGGTCCAGTTCAACGGAAACCCTCATACCGAGTTCCTGTTAAACACATACCGCACTAAACAAGAAGTGCTTTCCCATATTTCCAACATGTCTTATTCTGGGGGAAGCAATCAGACTGGAAAAGGATTAGAATACGTAATTCAAAACCACCTCTCTGAGGCTGCTGGAAGCCGGGCTGGTGACGGAGTCCCCCAGGTTATTGTAGTGGTGACCAATGGACACTCAGAGGACGGCCTTGTTCTACCCTCAGCGGAACTTAAGTCTGCTGATGTTAACGTGTTTGCAATTGGAGTTGAGGATGCAGATGAAGGAGCGTTAAAAGAAATAGCAAGTGAACCAGTCAATATGCATGTTTTCAACCTAGAGAACTTTACCTCACTTCATGACATAGTAGGAAACTTAGTGGCCTGTGTGCATTCATCCGTGCGTCCAGAAAGGGCTGGGGACACGGAAACCTTTAAAGACGTCACAGGTAATGGCAACATCGCCAAGCTGCTCCTGCCCTGCGTCCTTTGCAGCTGAGCTTGGCAACCGCTGGCCTTAAAGCAACGCCCTGGCTAAGAGTCGGTGGGGAGTAGGAGAGATGACTGTTCATGGGCTTAAAAACAAAGGTTTGTGTACCTTCTGGAGCCGCTTTCTCAAACACGGCACTTGGCCACATCCAGAGGAGGCCTTTGTTTCTGAAACAGCTGATATTTTAGCTAAAAGCCGATTTCCAATAGATCACAAAAGAGACCTCAGATTCCTTAGAAAAGCGTCTAGTGAATAGCACCCCCAAAACTGCTCTGGGCACAGAGACCTGTGTCCCCAGAGGCAGCTCCATGCCAGGAGGGGCATGAACAGAGAGGGAAAGAACGTCCACCTTCTGGTCCAGTGGAGAGCAGAGAGCTCCTCTGTTCTGCCCTTTTTCTGAATTCATTTCAGAGAATTGATAGAATCTGAGTGGGAAGAACCCTAGATGTGACTGAGTATGGATCTGTTTGGAAGAAATCAAGTCCTAAAGGGCAGGGGGCATGCTGGGGAAGTCCACCCGGGGCAGCCTCGGGCTCTGGCCCTGCCTGGAGGGCGTATGTGTCCACCATGCCATACCTGTGGCCAGGCCCAGAGAGGCTCTTTGGGTTCTAATGGCCCTCATCGGCCATCCTGGAAGAATCCATAATGCATGGATATCACCTTGCTGTGCTATTCACAGTGACGTGGCAGAGCTAATTGCCATCAGGTTGTTGAGCCCATTAACTGTCCTTCTAGTGCTAAGTGCACTGAAGAAGGAATTTGATAAGTGAAATTCCAGAAGGTACCACAGCAGCCCTGACGAGTGCGTGGGACTAGGTGTCCGCAGTGGGGACAGCAGGGTGGAGGGACGCCCTGCGTTAGAGCAGAGTCCAGAGTCCATGTGGCCCTTTGACAGCCGAGAGCTGAGCATTCTGGGTAGAGCAGATGGGGAGTTAGTGGGGGGAAGGAGGGAGACATGCAGCCTCCACACGGAGGGCAGGGAAGAGGAGGGGGCTGTGTCCTAACATTCTGAAGTGGACAGCGAGTGCCAGCGGGGCCGGCGTGGATCACCCCCATGAAGGAGAGGGTGCAGAGGGTGGCCTTGGGCTTGGGTGCTGGGAGGGCTCAGGGGTGAGATGGGCCCACACGATGCTCAGGAAACAGCTGCGGACTTGAAGTGTGGCCGAGTTGCCGTCAGAATTGCCCATTAATTATCCATGCTAACGGGGTCCACACTGAGGTCATCAGTGTGGACCCTGTTAGCATGGACCCCTCGGCGGGGTACCTGACTTGCTGCAGATGCCGCAGGCCCTCTCAGAATCAAAGGGGTTCCCAGATTTGGAGCTGGCAGAGGGCAAGGCAGAGAGGAGAGGAGAACACTCTCTGGGGGAGGCAGCGCAGGGATGGCTTCAGCCGGCATGGCGTCCTGGAGAGCAGGAGCAGCCAGCAGGAGTGCGGAGAGCCACCTGTCAACAGGAGATGCCACCTGTAGAGAGGGGACTTCTGGGGCAGACAGTGGGACTGGTGGGGTTTCAGGTGATGCGCACAGTGTGGCCACACATGCAGAGACGCATAGACAAGCCCACTGGGGAGAGGAGGCTGAGAGACTGGGGCTCAGCGGGGTCACCCACATGGACTTCAGAGTCTCTGGAGATGACCTGAGAGCAGAGTGGACCCTGGTGGAGCCTGGTGGATCCGCGGTCATTTAGGAAGATGGGGAAACTCTTGAGTGTGCCTCGCTACAGAGCGAGGGGAGCATTCTCGAATGAAGAAGGAATGAAGGGACAGCGGGGAGCAGGTCGGCACAGCACAGAGGAGGTGGCTGGAGGGAGGGAGACCAAGGGGCAGATTCCTGCTCAGCCTTGGAAAGTGGTCACCGCAGGAGGGCTGCAGAGACAGGGCCGGGGAGGTGACCAGGGGCAAAGTCAGTCTCCTGTCCACCAGGGTAGTGGAAGCAGCAGGAAAAAGAGAGATGAGGCTTTAAGGCACACATCATACCCCTGGGGGCCCTGGGGGCCACGGAGGGACTCAGGGAAGGGCAGATGGAGCAGAAGGAACCTGGAGAAACGCAGCGCTCTCTTTACTGTGGTCAGAATCACTGGGCAGCTCTAGGGAAACATCCCAGGCATGGCTTTTCATAGCAGACTGGGAGAGGGATGGCTAGGTGAACAAGCAGGAGGGCTTGGGTGACCGGGGGCTTCAGAACCAGCCAGCCCTCACCAACCCCGAGGTGTTTCTGAAGGCTCTTCTCAAACGGCCTTCCCTGTGGTCCCCAGATTTGGACTTGGTAGGGGTGGAAGAGGAGCTCCCTTGTGGTGGGTCTGCTTCCCAGGAGAAGGGATAAGAGAGTTGGAAAGTGTTCCCTGCCTCCGCCCTGGTGGTGATACCAACAGTGGTCCTGCTAGGTGGCAGGAAAAGAAGGTGGTGTCCTCAAGACAACCCCAGGCTGAACATCGGATTCCAGGGGAATGGCCAGGGCACCTTGAACGACCTTCTCTGCCGCAGCAGTCAATATACACTCACCCATCGCCGTTAGGCGTACAGGGTCGCAGCAGCCCTGTCAAGGGTAGGGAAGGGATCAATGGAGAAAGGGGCATTTTTTAAACTGATGCTTCGGCAAACTCACGAGAAGGAGTAGCTGAGTTTGGCGGCATGTGTAGCTGTTCTGTAGATGGGCAAAACTGAGGTCACCACAGCAGAGGCCGAGTGAGCCCCTAACACGGTGCGTTTCCACACAGAAGAGAAAACCTTTGTTTTTACGCCAAGCAAGCATCTCTGTCGTCTAGTGTCTTAGCCCCTAGCAGCCCCGGTGGACTCTGGATCTGTTTATGTCGTCTTTTCTAATTAACTGCACTCTGCCACGCCTCTGGCATCACGCCCACCGCATGCTCCACAGCAAAAAGTAAAATTAGAGACCTACAGAGTGGGACGTCTCCGCTTACCGCTCTGGTAAAAGGCCCGAGGAGGGCCGTCTAGGGCCTGCTAGCAAGCGAGGGCTTTTTCCTCATTTCTGGTCTATTTGGGAACTTTTCCTACTACAGTATTCCTGATCATGAAATAAGAACATTTTATACGTGAAATGTTAATGGTTGCCACTTTCTAGGTGAATTCTACTCAGTTAATCGATCTTTAATGGTTGTGTTTTAAAAAATCCCTTCACCAACCTTTTTAGAGCCCGACTAAAACAAAAGCTGAAGGCAGCAGTGAGGATTTCAGCATAAATTTCTTTTTTTCTGCAAAATATGAATATTTCAAAACTTCATGAAACTGAGCTACAATTTCATGTTTGCTTTATAGGAAATAAAAATGTGGCTTTTTTCTTAGAAAGGGGAGCATCACACGAGCTAAGAGAGGCACTCTGCCTGCAACACAGTGCTCAGGAAAACTGTGTCTCCAGTTGGGCAGAAGGAGCCAGGGATTTTTCCTTGGAGATTGTGAAACTTTTCCAGAGAAAATGCCATCAAGGGTGGGGATCCATGAGCCATAAAGACGAAAAACCAGACATGCTCGAATTTTCAAATTATCGATAGGTCTGACTTCTCCTGGAGTTACTGTTGGTTGTTGGTATACCTTACTCTCCGTAAGTGCCCAGGGCTCCTGGGTCTGCCTAGGCTTTGGCTCTCCAGATAACAAAGCATGCTCTGTGTGTCCCATTACCATGTGTGTAAGAGTATGGGGTTTTATTCAGTGATGACAAATTATCCAACGTTTTTATGACCTGCTTTTGCAGATGTTCAGTCTCTTAGGAGAGAAATTTTCACTTACTTTCCCCCAGGGATCATTTCTCTTATTAAATTATTATGAATGGCAACCCAACTAAGTAATAAATGAAGAAGGAATAGTGTCATGCTGTGACTTAGGTGTCATTTTTTTTTTTTTAATTTGCCATACTGAACACAGGTATCTTTCTTTCAAATGCCACCATTTGCTGTGTAAGTGGCAATTCTTTTGGTGTCCTGCAGGGCCATGGGTTTCAACCTGGAAACGTTGAGGAAGTTTGTGAGGTGATGTGCAGAGCATCTGCCTTTTGCAACCACCCAGCCATTTCTGTGGCCCGCTAGGTGGTTCATACTCCCTGGCTCTGCCCCTGCCCAGGGACCTTCAGGAAGCTTATGCTCAAAGGCCCAGTCTTATTTGATGATTTTGTACAACAATTATGGAAAGCACAAGGTCTTTATACATAGCAAAACAGCTCTCCTCTCCTTATATCTTAGGAGTATTTCCAAGTTACCACAGTCACCTGTGCAGAGAATAAACTTGCAGGGTGCTATCAGGCCCTCGAGAATGTAGGGAAGAGGAGCAGTTCCAGGTTGAGCACTTCTGCTTTGGTATAGCCCATGGGCAAGTTTGGGTAGAGCATCGTTTCTTTAGAACAGAACACTTCAGTTTTATGAGACAGGATTTGTATCCTTTTCCACAGTGAGGACAAAAACAATTCCACTGCACAAGGAAAAAAAATTAAATGTACAGTGTTCATTGGCATTAAAATGATCAGAACAAATGGTCTTCTATATAATATTACAATTATATCCCTAATATAGCTTTCTAGAACTCCAGAATGTAAACATTTATGCACACATAAAGTCTCTTCCAAGTTATAGAAAACATTTGCTAGAACAATTTTGCTTTTCCTCTGGTTTAAAGCAGCCTGATTATATGTTTTAAATGAGATCTTGCAGTATTCAGCTCTGATTTGAAGGCGTATTGGTAGCCAGTTTTTGCTCAGTGCTTCTGTGTAACCCCCATTCTCCATAGCAGAATGGAAGGCTCATGGCCACCATGGTGGGGAGAGGAGGAGGTCTTGGTCAGTCCTTTTTACATCCTTTAAATGATTCCAGAGCTAATTCTGAGTAAGGGTTAGCAGATGCTTGTGGTCCTGCTAGAAATCAGTTTAGGATGTCATAAAAATAAGGTTGGATAATTATGTCATGACTGGTTTCATATCACTCTGCTTAACATTATTCTGCATTATATGACTGAATACAGAGGCAATGGCAAGAATAAATGAGTAAAAAACCAGCCCAATTCCAGGTCTGCATTTGAGTTTCATACAGATAAATGGCTTCAGGGCAAGAAAATCAAGCCCCCAATCTATCAGAGTATTTTAAAATTAAAACTCTAAAAGCAGTTTGAATTCTGACCCACAAGGTTGCAGGTGCTCCACCATTTTGGTTTTAAGGGAAGAATGACCAATAGTTATTCAAGGAATCACTTAACATTCCAGAAGGTTGATTGACAAAATTGTGAAACTGGGATTCTGTTTACGGCTGTGGATTTGCATAAAAATCCTTATCCCTGGAGGAGGCAGGAGAAATAACCAAAAATGAGAAGTCAGCTTTGGATTTGTGACTCAACTCATTAATTTTCTCCTGCAGGGATGGCAATCACAATCCCATGCTATTACATTTCCCTCCAAATTTAGTAGAAATTTCCAGAATATATAAATGAGATCTCTTCCTCCAAAAAGTACATATGATGTTTTGAAATTTAATTACAAAGATGTCACAAATGAGAATTTGAGCCTGTTCTACACTACTAGTTCCAAGAAGTTGCCTCTTATCCATTCAGAATGCAGAACTCAATGAGAATTTCACGTTCCTTAATTGACATGTGGTTTGTTTGTCCGTATTTCGTGTTTCTTATTGGTTTCCAAAGAAACATGTGAGAACACTGAATGATGCATGTGTCACTTGTTCTAACGCTTTCACGTTTTTTGCATTTCTTTCTTTTAAAGCACAAGACTCTGCTGACATTATTTTCCTTATTGATGGATCAAACAACACCGGAAGTGTCCATTTCGCAGTCATTCGAGACTTCCTTATAAATCTCCTTGAGAAACTCTCAATTGGACCCCAGCAGATCCGAGTGGGGGTGGTCCAGTATAGCGATGAGCCCAGAACCATGTTCTCCTTGGACACCTACTCCTCCAAGGCTCAGGTTCTGGACGCAGTGAAGGCCCTCGCGTTCGCGGGTGGGGAGCTGGCCAACATTGGCCAGGCCCTTGACTTCCTGGTGGAGAGCCACTTCACCAGGGCAGGGGGCAGCCGAGTGGAGGAAGGGGTCCCTCAGGTGCTGGTTCTCATAAGTGCCGGGCCCTCTAGTGACGAGATTGGTGACGGGGTGGTAGCACTGAAGCAGGCTAGCGTGTTCTCGTTCGGCCTCGGAGCCCAGGCCGCCTCCAGGGCAGAGCTGCAGCACATAGCTACCGATGACAACTTGGTGTTTACTGTCCCGGAATTCCGTAGCTTTGGGGATCTCCAGGAGCAATTACTGCCCTACATTGTTGGTGTGGCCCAAAGGCACATAGTGCTGCAACCGCCAACCATTGTCACACAAGGTACGTATGCTCTTCTGGCCCTCTGTGCGGGGTGGGAGGTGTTGTGTGTCGGTTTGATAGAAGTAAGGTGGGCACCAGTGACTCCCCAGAGGAGAGCAGTAAGTACCCACGTCCTGTCCTGCCCCGAGGAGCTGGCTCCCGCAGGGAGGGTCACCACTGCTGCAGCGTTGGGGAAGCTGACCCTCCACAGTGAGTGGGGAGGTCTTCCTAGAGTGGGAGCCACGGCGAGGGTGCTTGGAGAGCTTGGAGCTCATTGTACCCTCTATTCTCCACCTGGTCATCCTGAAATTGGATCTGAGGTTTCACCGTACTCTGAGAAAGCTTCTCCAGGTAGAGGCATTGACCCCTAAGTCAGCGTTAGAAGTGTGTGCATAGGCAGTCTTTTTCCACAAAGTGACAAAGGAGCACCATGTCCCGGAAGTCCTCCTGTACCAGGGCATTGAGAAGCGCACTTACGAAGGTAAGGGTCACCACAGTGTCCATTCTGTGGAGTGTTTCTCAGACATTTTCCCCTGTGCTTATCAAGATTGTGATATGTACTCAAATGGAAGGCATTTGGCAAGACAGCCACCTGGAGTCATTTTAAACGAAATCCAAGTCATTTAAGAAATGTACATTCAGTCACCATGGGAGACACCTCAGAGGCGCAGATTTCCCTGCGTCAGCCCCTTTTTAGACATATCTACTTCGTGACCTTGGCCAGGCCAACCGGATGCCATTCAGCAAACTGGGGCACGCTGGCCCCCAGTGCCTTCTGGAAACCCCCAGTCCCTTTCCAGCATCACCCACACACTGGGAGGCTCTCATAAGAAGAGTCTTTGGATAAAAGACCTGCCCTCATTTCCCTGTAGTGCCTCAGCAGAGGACAGGCTAAGGGACAGTGGGCTTGGGTGGCCGTCCCAGTCAGTGACGGAGACGCTCCTGTGTGGGGCGACACGTCTCCACAGCTCTCGTTGGCTGACTAAGTGAAGGCACAGGTCTGAGGCTGCAAGATAACCGTTGTGATAAAACCCTGCTTACCTGTGTCGCTGGGGCACGAGGTGGGTTTTCCTTGGGAAAGGAGTGGCTACTGGGGCGCAGGAAGGAAAGGAGGCCAGGAGGGGAGGGCGTGCGGGTGGAAGCACCAGGCAGCGTGACCCTGCCACAGAGGAGCGTGGCCCCTTCCCAGGACCTCCCACGAGCCGCGTGCCTGGAGATGGAAGCCACTGGCTGGGGGAGAGCCGCGGCCTCATTGTGGGCACCCCAAGGGTGGGGTGAGTGCCAGGCAGTCGGGGATGACACATATCTGGGTTCAGAGGAGAAGCCTGAGAGGGAGGAGGCTTTGGGGTGGGCGTGGCTGCAGAAGGAAGGCCTGGGGACCAGCCGCCAATCACGACTGTACAGCTGGGTGACAGAGGGGCCTTGGGAGGCCTAGTCAGCCACCCGGGAGACACAGGGGTGTGGGTGACAGGTCAAGGAAGGGGTGTGTGCGTGGGGAGGGAGACGCTGACAGTGATCCAGAGGACCAGGATTAGCCATTGGACGGTTCCCGGTGGAGGGCAGTGTCCTGGGAGGTATTCTGGAGGTGTAGGCAGGGTCCTGGGAGCAATGGCAGTGTGGTGTTGGGGCGGGAGGAGACCCAGTGAGGATGGGGTGGGCTGCTAGGAGGTGGAGACGGGGTGCTGGGGGCCGAGGGGCTCCCTCCCCTTCAGTGGTGGTTGAGGTGACATCTCACAAGGCAGTAGCAGAGGACTGAGCAGAGAGTAGGGTCGGAGATGACCTCTGGGGAATGGGAAGCATTGGAAGGTGCAGGCTGGCACCAGCTGCCGGTGTGCCTTCCGGGGCTCCAGGTGTGGAGTGCAAGCTTCCCTGTTGGGGGATTTTTCCAGGAGCGCCATCTTGCTTGGGTGATGCCTGGAGAAGAGAGGGGGGACAGGGTGGAGTCTCTCTCAGGGAGATGGGAAAATGTGGATCAGAGAGCCCGCAGAGATGGGCGCAGGGGAGAGGTGTGAGTTAGAAAGGGCTGGATGATAGGGTGAGCGTCAGAGATCTGAGAGCTCGTACGGTAGGAGACGTGTGCAGCATTGGTGGGCTGGAAGGACGAAGGCTGGGCAGAGTGTGGGTGTGTGAGATTGCAGAGGTGGTGTGATCTATGGTGACCACAGGCCAGCTGTGGCCCTAGAAGCAGTGCTGTGTGGACAGGAGGACACACTGTATTGGAAGTACTGAGGTATTCAGGTGACTGGTGTCTCCGAGTCACTGAGGATGTAAGGGTAGCACGGACAGGAAGGCAGCTGGAGGAAGGGTGGTCTGGTAGGATGCTTCAGGAGGGCTGTTGGACACAGTAACCTGGAAGAGTGAGGACACCCCAACTCCTGGGCTCTTGGGGTACAGGGGAGGAGGCCTCCTGGGGGTGTCGGGCTCAGTCTTGGAGATGAGGGCGAACAGTATCCAACAGCATAGCTGACTGATTAACAGGACCTTCAAGTGCACCTCCCTAGGAGGCAAGAGACAAGCAGAACCATGCAATAGAGAAAGGACGGCTCTGATGAGCTGGCATTTCAGGTCAGGCAGAAGGAGACACTGAGGCATCCATGACGTGGCTTCCAATGAGGCAGGCGTGAGAATCCATTGTATGATGGGGCTGAGGAAGTCCACGAACAGCCCTTTCATCTCACAGAAAAGCAAGCAAGCGGCCAACCTGGAGGAGCTACCTGATTCTGTGGGGGCTGGGGGCTAGTGGCAGAGCCATGAAACCCAGGCAGGAATGCAGCCGATCTTGGAGCCATTGGTATTTTTCTGTGTGGCTGGCTATGCAGAGGTCCAGGTGTTTGAGTTCCCAGGGCCTCAGACACAAGTCAAACCTAAGTGGCCTCTTGCTCAGGGGAGGGGACTTTTGGCACAGAATCAAGAGTCCCCGCGTGCATTTGAGTTCCCAAAGACAATTCCTAGCTCTCTGGGTTCCTTGTCTGCCACATCCGGACATCTGTCCTTCCCACAGGCCCGTTGGTGGGATGTATAGTGACACTGTGGAAGGAGGTGTTCAAATTTGTACCACACTTAAAATGAGGGTGAGACTTAACTCCCCCGTTCTGCATGTTGTGTCACTGCTGTTACTTATGAAGAATAACAGTAACTGGGGCCACTTGCTGCAGGTGAGCCACTTCCCAGCTGATGGCTGTCATGAATACTTGTCCATTTATCTGCTGTATGTGATATACATGATCAATGCATGTGACAATAGATGTGGGGCATCCTATGTGGACTACGTACGTATGTGTGTGTCACCCACACCACCACCGATGGTACAAGGGCATGAGAACTCCCCTAGATAGCTACCCATCCAGGTTTATCTGCAAAGATATTTCAAACCAGAATCAGAGGAGCAGCTCAGGGTACTAGCAAGTTCTAACCTGAAGGAAAAAAAGCAGGCCCCGAATGGCTGCTCATGACCATGACCAGGTCAGTGAGGAGAGGTGAAATGTTGTCCCGCACATGCTGTTATGCCTGAGGGCAGCTGGGTAACTGCATAAGACATTGGTGCCCCAAGTGTCCCCCTTTTGGGGCCAATGAGGTGTGGCTGTCCTAAAACCATTCCTTAACATGTGCCAACTGTTCTGACTCTAGCCACCACGGTCCTGGCATCCAGTCCACACACCCAGGAATGAGCTGTGTTTAACACACGCATTACCTTCATCCCAAACCTTTCCTCCGCTGGGTGTCACAAAATCCACCTCCCATACAAGCTGTCTGATGGAAGGAGTGACAGGGGCCCTTTTGCAAACACCCCCCATCAGGTCCCACAATTGCACCCTTATCCATCTTGGACACCCACCAGGCTCTGGCGTGGTCCCTGAGGTCTAATAGAGTTCTTTGCCAGTGGAGCAGGTTGCATTCATTCTGAAACAGCAGCTGGGCCAGAGTTCACAGGCAGGGGTCACGTTGAGGTGTTTTGATTTGTGGTTGGTCTTTGAGTTACCATCGTCTTAAGATGTCACTCCAGACCTCTGCAACCCAGGTCTCGTAAGTGAAAACTTCTGTGGCACTTGCTGGCATTGATATTGATTTCCCTTTTTAGGTTTTACGATGTCAAGTCATTTTTTTTTCCCTGAAAAAAGGAGTTCTGGAATAGAGAGCTAGAGAGATTGAAGATATTTATTTCCATAGAGCTTTCACACTTGGTTATGTGTGATTTTGAAATTGAGATTGTGATCCAGAGGGCTAGGGCTCTCTGAGCAGACGCAAGTTGTTTCTTCAAGCTCTGGCTTTATTCTGGCCAAATGAGATATTTGTGGCAGAAGACAACTGACTGTCCTTCCAGTGACAGAATGCTAAGCAGGTGGTTACTGAACCTAAATTTGTTTTTGTGCAATTATTTTGTAAAGTGATTAGGAGTAGCAGGGTGGGAGGGGAGCCAGCCTGCTATCCCGTAGGAAGCTAATGTAGCTAACGCGTGTGTGTTGACAAATTCCTCCTGAGGTGTTCCCTGACGTCACATTGGCCAGAGCCAATGGGGAGCGTCCTATGTAGGTGGAGGTGTTTGTAGAGAGTCGTTGTTAGGTGTGCTTGGTGAGGCTGTTCCACTCACCTCTCCATGTTGCTACCTACAGTCATCGAGGTCAACAAGAGGGACATAGTCTTCCTGTTGGATGGCTCTTCCAAGCTGGGCCTGGCCAACTTCAATGCCATCCGAGACTTCATTGCCAAGGTCCTCCAGAGGCTGGAAATCGGACAGGATCTCATCCAAGTGGCAGTGGCTCAGTATGCAGACACTGTGAGGCCCGAGTTTTACTTCAATAGCTACCCCACCAAAAGGGAAGTCGTTGCGGCCGTGAGGAGGATGAAGCCCCTGGACGGCCCAGCCCTGAACACGGGCTCTGCTCTGGACTTTGTTCGCAACAACCTGTTCATCAGCTCGGCCGGCTACCGGGCCACAGAGGGGGTTCCCAAGCTCCTGGTGCTGATCACAGGTGGTAAGTCCCTAGATGAGGTCAGCCAGCCCGCCCAGGAGCTGAAGAGGAGCAGCATCATGGCGTTCGCCATCGGGAACCAGGCTGCCGACCCAGCGGAGCTGGAAGAGATCGCCTTTGACTCCTCCCTGGTGTTCAAGCCCGCTGAGTTCCGGGTAACCTCTTTGCAGGGTGTGCTGCCAAGCCTGCTGGCGCCTCTGCGGACCCTCTCTGGAACCACTGAAGGTATGGTGGCCGCGCTCAGACGTGTCGCAGGGTAGCTGCAGGCAGAGCCCTTGAGAGAAAGGCGTTGTTGGTGTTTAGCTGAGAGACGCTTGTTCAATGGTGAAAACAACTGTAGCAAATGAGATTTATTTAGGCTTCCTTTTCCCCTGGGTTGAGGACGGTAGGGTTTACAGTGTTGAACAATCAGCTTGTGTAACCTCAACTTCAGGGCCGGGGCCACCTGTTTGTGTGGCTTCTGGCCAAGGCAGTCACGTCTCAGGTCTGGGGCCTAGTGTCCTTCCCTTCCTACTGGTGACCAGCCTCCTGTCCCCCTCCACCAAGGGGGAGCCTGGGTCCTTCCTTTCCTGACTGACAGTGCTGACCCTAGGGGATGGCCTCACCTTTTCACCCTCTGTCCTCTCACTGCTCAGGACCCCCTCTGATGGGACAGCATGCTGAGTGGGTGGGTGTCAAGACCAAACCCCACGGGTCCTCGAATCTCCCAATTAACATGATCCTCAGTGCAATTGTTTCTAAAGACAACATAAAAGCCTTTGAGCCCATGGATCGGGCATATGCAGTCCTCTGATTTAATAAAGAGCAGATGAACATCTTGGAAGCCAGCTTTCCCACCTCCCAGCCTTTCCACTACAGGGGTGCTGGGTGCATGACCCCTGCTGCATGGGTGCCTGCTCCTCCTCCGGACTCTCCCGCTCCAGAAGTCCTAAACACCTCTCTCTTCTGTATTCCTAACACTCCTGATCCACTCTTTCATAGCCAACATTCAGCTGGATGAACATGGAATGATATTAGTTCAATCATAGTGAGGCGTTGGGGGCAAATGGGAAAATATACATGTGAAGTCTGTTGGAGAAAAGCAGTCATCTCTCAGTATCCACGAGGACCGGGCAGATACCAAAATCCTCAGATGTCAAATGTGCCGTGTTTGCATATAATCTATGCAATACTCCCGGGTACTTTGTGTTCTCTCTAGATTACTTATAGCACTGAACATAATGTAAATGCTGTGTAAATACCTGTTCTACTTTATTGTTCAGGAAAGAGTGGCAAGAAAAACAATCCATACTTTGCTCAATACAGACATAATTTTTTCCAAATATTTTTGATCTGAGATTGGTTGAATCCACAGATGTGGGACTCACAGATTTGGTGGGTCTATGGTGCTCTCATTTAAGAATTTGGCTTTTAATTGATCATGTGTATAACTTCAGACAAGTATTTTCCTGGTTGCCCATGATCCTGTCGTTTTTTTTGGAGGAACTACCTGGGGGCGTGTGGCTGGATTGCTGGTCCAGTGCCACTGGGACTCCCTGGCAGGAGAGGAGCTCAGTGGAGAATGACAAATCATGAGAAAGTCTTTGGTTGTTTGCTAGCCTTAGGAACCCACCTCCTCAGGTTAGGTGAGCTACTGCTCCTGAGCTTCCATGGGGAACTCCCTGTAGGAGCACAGAGGTGAGCCCCGAGGACCCAGGCCTGCACACATCAGATGAGACATGCAGCAGCCAGCCCCCTCGTAGAACTCATTTCCAGGGAAGAAACGTTCTGTTTCCAGGATTCTGATGACTTTGTGGTTGCAAACCTTCTACTCTGGCCCTGTGTCTGTGAGTCCACTTGGTTTTGTACACTTGGCTGTCAGTGTGCCTCACCAACTCCAGCCTCCGCTAGAGGGAAGTACACAGCCACCTGCCGTCTTCTCTGAGAGGGCATGCTTCGCCACGCTGACGTCCTCTGTGTGCTAAACGTTGGCATGTGTGTACTCGGCAGACACACATGGGGAGCCTTCGTGTTGTGTATGTCTCACTTTGTTTTCTGTGCTTCACCGCAGTTCGCGTAAACAAAAGGGATCTCATCTTCCTTTTGGATGGATCGGTCAACGTTGGAAAAGCCAATTTCCCTTATGTGCGCGACTTTGTCATGAACCTAGTTAACAGCCTTGATGTTGGAAGTGACAATATTCGCGTGGGTGTAGTGCAATATAGTGACACTCCCGTGACCGAGTTCTCACTAGACACATACCAGACCAAGTCAGATCTGCTTGCTCACCTGAGGCAGCTGCAGCTCAAGGGGGGCTCGGGCCTGAACACGGGCTCGGCCCTGAGCTATGTGCATGCCAACCACTTCACCGAGTCTGGCGGCAGCAGGATCCGTGAACACGTGCCACAGCTCCTGCTCCTGCTCACGGCTGGGCCGTCTGACGACTCTTATTTGCAAGCTGCCAATGCCCTGGCGCGCGCAGGCGTCCTGACCTTTTGTGTGGGGGTCAGCCAGGCGAATAAGGCCCAGCTTGAGCACATTGCTTTTAACCCCAGCCTGGTGTACCTCATGGACGATTTCAGCTCCCTGCCAGCTTTGCCTCAGCAGCTGATCCAACCCCTTACCACATATGTTAGCGGAGGTGTGGAGGAAGTCCCCCTCGCGCAACCAGGTAAACCCCCTCCCCACCGGCGCGGCCCTGCCCTCCTCACATGCCTCCCTGGCCGGGCAAGGTCATGGACAATCTGAACTCAGAGCATTGTGAGCTCCAGAAAGACACTGGCCCACTTTGGTTGAAATGTTTGGAATGGGGTTTAAGACACTGTACCAGCCAGTTTAGGAGGACAGTTAATGAAAGTTCTGTCCATGCCTTTCAGCCTTAATTCAGAAGCACCCCTCCAAAAGCCTAGGAAGATTCTGGAGTGAAAATCCAGGTGGCAGACTGGGAGGGAGGGTAGCAGGGAGGGAGGGGAGAGAGAAAAGAGAGAGACCCTACATGAGCATGGGGCATGCCTTGACATTTAAAAATTGAAATTGTTTTCTTTATATGGTATCTGTGTGTTCAGACTCTGCAAAAAGTCATCCATACACCTTGGCTCACTAGAAGGCTTCCCAGAGGAAATCTGCATCATTGTGTTTTATTGCAAATTGTCGTGGCAGTGAGACTGCACATGTTTGATCCACCAGCCTACTGACATCACAGAGCTGCGTGCAAGATTAAACCACTGGAAACCCAGTCTAAACAGAACCAAGGGCTGTTTGAACTGGACACAGTATTTATGTGATGTGGTGTAGCCTCCTGTGGGCTGTCATTCATGTTTCCCAAGGCCCAGTGATAGCGCTTGGAAAGCACTGGCAGAGACCTGACCCACCCAGGAACGACCAGCGCTATTTAGCTATTAACTATCCCATAAACCCAAAGACATTGAAAAGACAATCCAGTTAGAGCAGTACATGGCCACCCAGGGACCTGTGCTGCAAACAGGGGATCCTCTGTCACAGACAGGGCAAGTTGTAGCAAAAGTACAGTGAGGACCACCTTTCCCGTAGTTTCATTGGTAACAGTGTGAAATGGTTCTGTTCTCCTGCAGGGGCCCACTGAGGCAGAAGAGGGTTTTTCAGGGGCTTTGATGAGGAAGCTATGTGGGGTTGAGTAGACCAGCCTAGTTTTTTTCTTTTGCAAATGTGCACCACTTTGAATAGCACATTTCTTGACAAGTGGTGCAGGTGTTCTCTTCTCCTGCTGGTACAGTGACCCTCAGGGGAGTCTCACGGGCCCACAGTTAAATGCTGGTGGTGTGACACTGCCAGGATTGCTTTCCTCACTGCATCCTGATCTACTTCCCTTGCAGAGAGCAAGAGAGACATTCTGTTCCTCTTTGATGGCTCAGCCAACCTCGTGGGTCAGTTCCCTGTTGTCCGCGACTTTCTCTACAAGATCATTGACGAGCTTGATGTGAAGCCAGAGGGGACCCGGATTGCAGTGGCTCAGTTCAGTGATGACGTCAAGGTGGAGTCTCGCTTCGATGAGCATCCAAACAAGCCCGACATCCTGAATGTCGTGAAGAGGATGAAGATCAAGACAGGCAGAGCCCTCAACCTGGGCTTCGCCCTGGACTATGCCCAGAGGTACATCTTCGTCAAGTCCGCGGGCAGCCGCATCGAGGATGGAGTGCTGCAGTTCCTCGTGCTGCTGGTTGCTGGGCGGTCCTCGGACTCCGTGGATGGGCCAGCAAGTAACCTGAAGCAGAGTGGGGTGGTGCCTTTCATCTTACAAGCCAAGAACGCAGACCCTGCCGAGCTGGAGCGCATAGTGCCATCCTCCGCCTTCATCCTGGCTGCCGAGTCCCTCCCCAAGATCGGAGATCTTCAGCCACAGATTGTCCATCTCTTGAAATCTGTGCACAATGGAGCCCCACAACCAGGTAGGGCAGAGCACTGGGGGTGGCTTCTGCAGCTGGATTCTTCAGTGCCCAGCCCAGGGTCCTCAGATAGCCTGGAGCCCTCCGGGGGCCACGGGAAGATGGGAAACCACAGGTGGTCTCTGCAGGAGCCAAAGAATATGAGTCTTCTTTCCACACCTTACTTTTTTATCTGTTTCGTAGGGGAAAACAAGAGAATTCAGGTGATTATTTTAAAGGGCATCAGAATATCTCATGATAAGATGCATTATGAAGCTTTAGATATCAATAGTTAAAATCCCCCTGCTTAAAATTTTTTTACTATCTGCAGAATAGAAGCCATATGACATGGTTATATCAGAGCTGAAACTGTCTTTGTCTTCCTGTTCCTCCAGTGCCGGTGTCTAATTCCTTCACTGTTTTAATCCCTTGACTTCATTCATTCAAAATTGAAGGTATTGGAAGAGGCAGATAAATTCCCCCTGTGAAGGCTGCATTTGACTTTTCAACCGCCGATTTACATCACCATGGCTTTGCATTCAACCACTTTTTTATTTGATGATAAAAATGCAGCAAGAAAGAGTGATCAATTGCAAAAGTATCCCTTTGGTTAAAAACTGAGTTTTCGGAGCATATGCACTGGTGGCCGGGTCCCGCCCACAGTGGGTTTGGGTGGCTGCTGACTCCTGGGCTGTGTTTCTTCCATGATCCACCTGTAACTGGGCCCAACCACTTGCCTTCCCTTCTGCACGTGCTCTGGTGATGTGGCCCTGCGACCCCCATCCATGTTCCTCCTCTGCACCCAATCTTCTCCTCGAGTTCACCTGTGAAATTAGCAGCTCTGCTCAGGCGGAAGGGCTCTGTACAGTGGTGTGTCCCTCTCATTGCTAGCATGGCAAATCAGCTCGTGTTTAGTGGCTTCTGATAAAATGAATTTATTATCTGACAATTTGGAGGTCAGGAATCGGAAACCAGCGTCACTGGGCTCAGCCAAGGTGTGTGTTCCCTCTGGAGGAACTTGGAGGTCATTTACTACCTCACCTTCTCCAGCTGCCAGAGGCCACCTGTGTTCCCTGGCCCATGGCCACATCTCCATCCTGGGAGCTGGCAGGGGGTGTCTTCCCTTCTCTCTGACCTCTGCTCCATCTTCTCCTCCCTCACTCTCACCTCCTTCCTGGTTCTGTGCAGACGCTGGAGATGAACAGCCCCCAATCCTTCACTGAATCCCATTGCAAAGTTCTTTTGCCCTCGCAGGACTTTGGAGTTGACCCTCCCTGGGGGCAATGTGCAGTGCCATATGGGTGTGAAGCTGCTGCTCCCGGTCCCCGGTGAGCCATCAGATGTCTCCCTCCCAGTTTCAGGTGAAAAGGACGTGGTGTTTCTGATCGACAGCTCTGAGGGCGTCAGGAGTGGCTTCACCCTGATGAAGGAGTTTGTGCAGAGAGTGGTGGAGAGCCTGGATGTGGGCCCTGATCGCGTCCGCGTGGCCCTGGTGCAGTACAGTGACCGGACCAGGCCTGAGTTCTACCTGAATTCCTACATGGACCAGCAGAGTGTCATCAGTGCTGTCCGCAGGCTGACCCTGCTGGGCGGGCCGGTCCCCAACACCGGGGCCGCCCTGGACTTTGTGCTGAGGAACATCCTGATCAGCTCTGCAGGAAGCAGGATAGAAGAGGGCGTCCCCCAGCTTCTGATCGTGCTCACGGCTGAGAGGTCTGGTGATGACGTGAGGGGCCCCTCGGTGGTCCTGAAGAGGGGCGGGGCAGTGCCCATCGGCATTGGCATTGGCAACGCTGACATCTCAGAGATGCAGACCATCTCCTTCATCCCAGACTTCGCTGTGGCCATCCCTACCTTCCGGGAGCTGGGCACTGTCCAGCAGGTCATCTCTGAGAGGGTGACCCAGCTGAGCCGTGATGAGCTGAGCAGGTTGCAGCCGATTTTCCCGCAACCACTGAGCCCAGGTTAGTGGAGAATTCTGTGGGCCGTTTTTCCTTGAAATCATCAGGGACCCGTGTTTAGACTGTGGGCCACAGGGTGCTTTCAATCTTCCTTCCACCACCGCATATAGTGACAACTAGAGTCACGTGAAAAATTAGAAGCCATGTGCCTTTTTAGGTCCCATTGGAGAAGCCAAGATTCATGTTTTTGGCCAAATAAAAGTCTGCAAGAGGACATATCCTGGCTGAGGCTCAGACTCCCTAATCTGCAGGCAGCCCCTCTGCAGCTGTCTGAAGGGGCTGTCAGCCACACCAGCTCAGCCTCATTCTGCGTGGTCCCCAGGAGCCTGGGTACAGCCCTCCACTATCAGAAGCCAGTCTGGTCACAGGCACCCTGCTGTCAAGTGTGGGCAGAGCCTCTGCTATATTGGCCTCTTCTGTGCCAGAGTACAAACATTAGTTTTGAATTTTTCTTAAAATTGAGAAGCGTCTGGACTGGAGGGAAGGCCCCCTGGCCCCTGGGCCCAGGGGTGTTCTATTTCTTCCTCGCCAGACCTGGTACAATAAGCCTGAGAATGGCGGGAGCCCTGGGGGCTGAGAGGAAGAGGACTAAGAAGAATCCTCCCTCAACACAAGCCCGCCCAGTGCCTGCTGTCCCTGTTCCTGGGCAGGGGCAGTCACAGTGCTGAGGGAGCAGAGTGTCCCTGAAGGAAGGTGGGGTGAGAAAGAGACAAGGGAGCTGGTGGCAGGGTGCCTCGTCCTGTGGGGAAGGAGGGAGGGAAAGGAGGCTGGTGGGCACTGGGTCAGCTTCTGTAGGACAGCAGTGAGCCTGCCGGCTTGCATGAGTGTTCGGAAGTGGTTGCAATAAGATAAATTTGGGAGACAGTGAGACAAAGTGAGATGGTTTCCTCTCTCTGATTGGTGTACCTGTGCATCTCCCATGCAGCAGGCGGATGCACATTCCAAACCTCGACTGCAGGAGTCTGTTATGATGCCCCTCGAGGTGCCTGGTGTGGGCGAGGATGCACTTTGGAAGCATGTGTGTTCAGCTTCTTACTCCAAACACAGATGCTCTTTCTGCAGCCATGGGGGTCCTGGTCCATTCCCTCTCCCACTCCTCAGAATGGCCACGCCCCTTCCTCTCCTTTCTTCCTACCCTGTTTCTTCCCCACCTCTCCTTTCTCAGCTTGCTCTCAGCTGGTGGCCTTGAGTCCTGTTGCACCAAGAAAATACAAGTAAATCCAAGAGAAGTTCCAGAGGCTCCCCGACTCTCTACTGGCCGTGATGTCCATGTCTCAGTGGTGGCCTGTCTGGGATGGTCCGTTTCTGTCTCTGTGGCCACCTTCTCCTCCCCTGCCCAGGGCGTCCTCTGCAGTTCTCTCTCTCCTGTCACCCTGTACCACCATGCAGCGCGATTCCACTCATGGTACCAGTATACTGCTTCCTTCTCTCTTAAACACTCTCTCTATGCCCCTGTGCCCCCTCCAGCTGCACTGGACATCTCCCCTCAATCCTCTCTGACCACTCCCAGTCTGTGGCTCACCCTCACCCTCCACAGGAAACACTCCTATCTGTCCCTCCATCTGCTGAAGCCGGATGCCCACTCTGGTGCCATCTTACCCAGTCTGTGAGAAGCACTGCCACAGCTGAGATTCCCTCCTTCTGGAAACATCCTTGTCACTTGGTGACAAGCTCCTACAGCTTCTGCTCCCTGGGGGCACTTGTCCTGACCTTGCCTGCTCCTCCTCTTGCCTCTCATGTACAGACACTGAGGGGCACAGGGCTTGCTCCTTAGACTGATATTCTAATGTGCTTCGTTAATGCTAAAGATCATGTTTGGTTCACAGGAACTGGGAGCAAGAAGGACGTGGTCTTCCTCATTGATGGGTCTCAAAGTGCTGGCCCCGAGTTCCAGCACATACGCTCCCTCCTCGAGAGGCTGGTGGAGTACCTGGACGTGGGCTTCGACACCACCCGGGTAGCAGTCATCCAGTTCAGCGAGGACCCCAAGGTGGAGTTTCTGCTGAATGCCCACGCCAGCAAGGACGAGGTGCTGAACGCGGTCAGGCGGCTGCGGCCCAAGGGCGGGAGGCAGGTCAACGTTGGAAATGCGCTGGAGTACGTGTCCAGGAACATCTTCAAGAGGCCGCTGGGGAGCCGGATAGAAGAGGGTGTCCCGCAGTTCCTGGTCCTTATCTCGTCTGGCAAGTCCGACGACGAGGTGGAGGACGGTGCTGTGGAGCTCAAGCAGTTTGGGGTGGCCCCTTTCACCATAGCCAGGAACGCAGACCGGGAGGAGCTGGTGAAGATCTCTCTGAGTCCTGAGTACGTGTTCTCAGTGAGCACCTTCAGGGAGCTGCCCAGCCTGGAGCAGAAACTGCTGACCCCCATCACCACGCTGACCTCTGAGCAGATACAGCAGATCCTGGCCAATACCCGCTATCCTCCCCCGGGTGAGACTGGAGGGGTGGGGTGGTTTCCCTCCGGGTGTTTCTGATGGGGAAGAGACCAGGCTCGAAGGCCTGGCTAAAGGTGACGATTTACAATAAAGGGTGCTCTTCCACCTTGACACCTCCAGCCAGGCGCCCCCAGGATGGCCAGCGACTGGACAGGTTGACTCTGTCCCTTGATGTCCCAAGGGAGGATGGGCGTCTCAGTAATAGGGCCATGGGTTTGAGCTTGTGCCAGGCCATTTTGTGGAAGGCTTAAGGAAGTGGGGCTTTGGTGTGGACTGGGTGTGGCCACGCAGTGGAGGTAGTTCTTCAGTGGGCTGCCTTAGGAAGTCAGGGTAAAGATGGAAAAGAAGCAGGTTGCCCCTGCCCACCCGGACAGCAGTGCGGTCACCTTTGTGGTTTGGATAGTTCCCAGGTTTTTGTCTGTGTTCACATACGATTATAGCAGCCTCATTTCTACCTTCCCTATGGTGACCAGAGTGGTCTTGTCTGATGCTGATGTTCTGTGGGGTCCTTTGGGCCTGCTTCCCAGCCTGAGAGCTACTTTCTCTCTCCCAGTAAATGGCTCAGTGACGGTCATCTCAGTCTCACTGTGCAGCTCTTCCAGGTTGGATGAGACCAAGCCAGGTGGACATCTGTCAAGTGGCAACGTATTAGTTCACTTAAATGACATCTGAGAAACATCTAGGTTCTAATAGGAAACTGTGGCTCATCTTTCCCAAGATGTTTTTGTTAATTTTGTACAAGCTGAGTGTCCCTAAACTAAAATGCTGGGGACTAGTAGTATTTCAGATTTTGGATTTATTTGGGTTTTGGAATATTTGCATATATGTAATGAGATACCTCGGGGAGGAGACCAAGTCTAAACATAAAATTCATTGATGTTTCATATACACCTTATGTACATAGTCTGAAACTGATTTTATTCAGTTAAAAAATAATGTTGTGCATGAAACAAAGTTTCAGTGTGAAATTTTCTGTGTCCAAAACCAACCAACAAACAAATTTCTGTTCAAAAAAAATTTCAAATGGGAGTATCTTAGATTTCTGATTTTTGGATAAGGGGTGTTCAATCTGTAGTTAAGAACCAATTCATGTAAATAAATGGGGCAATAATCATGAAAATAAAGACTTTGTATAAATCCTGGGGATACGTGGCCAAAAGAGATGAGGGTGTCTCTGTTGGTGGGGGTTGTTAATGTGACAGGTGGCACTCAGGGGGCTGGTTGTCCCTCACAGAGACCCGCCCCGAGGGCTGAGTCAGCAGCAGTGCAGGCCGGGGTCAGGGATGGACCTGGGCCTCTCAGGACTGTCGCAGTGATGGCACAGTGATCGCTGTCTTTCTCCTCTCCAAGGACGCTCTTCTAGACGTCAGTCAGCGGCTCTGTTTCCAACTCTCTAGAGGGTGCTATTCCAGGATCTGTTTCCAAATGCTGCTTACATTTTTAAAACTAGTAAGAACTCAGACCACAAAGCCAAGATGGGAAAAGGGTCAACCCAGGGAGGTCTGGGGGAACTTGAGGTATTTAAAGAGAGGAAATTGTTTCAGTGAGAAAGACCCGACCTTCCCTGGTTCATTTAAAAGGCCCGAGAGGCAGTGGCCAGGGTGGCTGGGCGGAGCCCCAGTGCCGCCATCGTGCCCAGCCCCAGGGGTGGGGCAGAAGCAGAGGCAGGAGGAGCTGGGCAAGGGCAGCAGGGCACTGACCTCCCTCTCCTCCCTGTGCCCTCAGCTGCGGAGAGCGACGCCGCGGACATTGTCTTCCTGATCGACAGCTCTGAGGGCGTCCAGACGGATGGCTTTGCCAACATCCGGGATTTTATTACCAGGATCGTCCGGAGACTCAACATCGGCCCCAGCAGAGTGAGAGTCGGGGTCGTGCAGTTCAGCAACGAGGTCTTCCCTGAGTTCTACCTCAAGACCTACAAGTCCCAGGTGCCCGTGCTCGAAGCCCTCCGGCGCCTGAGGCTCCGCGGTGGCTCTCCGCGGAACACGGGCAAAGCGCTGGAGTTTGTGGCAAGAAACCTCTTCGTCAAGTCTGCGGGGAGCCGGATAGAAGACGGCGTGCCCCAGCACCTTGTCCTGGTTCTGGGTGGAAGGTCTCAGGATGACGTTTCCAGGTTCTCCAAGGTCATCAGTTCCTCGGGGATCATGACCTTGGGAATAGGAGACCAGAACGTCGACAAGGCCGAGCTGCAGACCATCGCCAGCAACTCGAGGCTGGTCTTCCCGGTGCGGGAGTTCAGAGATCTCCCCAACATAGAAGTGAGGGTCATGAACTCCTTCGGACCCTCTGGGGCTACTCCTGAGCCTTCCGTGGAGACACCGCCTCCTTCAAGGCCAGGTAGGAGCTCTCTGACCCTCTACTACAAGTGGACCATCAATGACTTTTAATTAAAATATAATTGGCATTTGTTGTAATAATTTTCTTTCAGGGCCTTTTCTGCAGATAATATTAGAAACTAAACACTGGAAAAAAGTTGAAATAGAGGGAAACATATCCCCCAAAGCACATGGTCACTCATCCTTGCTCACTCCCACGGTTAGAGGCAGCCCATGGTGGGCTCTGTAGGGGTGCACTGGGGGCTAATCTAACCGTTGGCCCTCAGGAGAGACAGCGTCTCAGAGTCAGACACACCATGCCCCACTGGCTGTCACTTTGAAATCAGGGCCTTCCCAGAGATGGGACGCTTAATCACAGTCCACCTGGGCCTCCTTCTTTGGCCTTCAGATGTGTCCACCAGCATCTTCTTTCTCGTGCTCCTGGCCCTCACCTGTGGGGATGCCAAGAGCACGTTGGATACCTCCACTACCCACCCCTTTCCTTGCCCTCTTCTGGGCAAGTGGACACTCAGATCCCTGGTGCATGAGCAGGACTGGGCTTCTAGAAGGATCTGCATTCCATCTTAGCCTGGCTGTGCCACATCTGTACCTCTCACATTGTCTCCAGCTTCCTCTCCTTTTCAGTGGACTCTCTGCTGCTTGATTAGAACCAGAAAGTTACCCGCAGCAGCCACTGGTTTCAGCAGGCTCTCACGAAGCTCTGCATTATGAATGGATGGGCCCCCTAATCCTCCCAAGGGTCTACTTTCCACTTTCCAGTCTGTCTCTCTAGCCCTTCCTTGCCCTGCCCTTCACCTGTCTCCCCCAACTCCTGACAGAGACTTACTTTTGACCCGAATTAGAAGGTTTCATGGCATTTCCTAGACATCGAGAACGAGACCCCTGTGGAATTCCTGGCACAGTGCCCTCTTTTGCATGTCTTTTTTTAATTGATGTTTGGTGCATTTATGTTCAGGGTACTGAGACGCAATCTCTCCCCATGTTGGTTGTGACCCCTGTAGAGAAGAAGAAAGCAGACATTGTGTTCCTGTTGGACGGGTCCATCAATTTCAGGAGGGACACTTTCCAGGAGGTGCTCCGGTTTGTGTCTGAAATTGTGGACACGGTTTATGAAGACGGCGACTCCATCCAAGTGGGGCTAGTCCAGTACAACTCCGACCCCACGGATGAGTTCTATCTGCGGGACTTTTCCACCAAGAGGCAGATCATTGACGCCATCAACAAGGTGGTCTACAAAGGGGGTAGACATGCCAACACCAGGGTGGGCCTGGAGCACCTGAGGATGAATCACTTTGTGCCTGAGGCAGGCAGCCGCCTGGATCAGAGGGTCCCTCAGATCGCCTTTGTGATCACCGGCGGGAAGTCAGTGGAGGACGCTCAGGACGTGAGCATGGCGCTTACCCAGAAAGGCGTCAAAGTGTTTGCAGTCGGTGTGAGGAACATCGACTCGGAGGAGGTGGGGAAAATTGCATCCAACAGTGCCACAGCCTTCCGCGTGGGGAATGTCCAGGAGCTGTCGGAACTGAGTGAACAGGTCCTGGAAACGCTGCACGATGCGATGCATGAGACCTTATGTCCTGGTGTGACCGACGTCTCCAAAGGTAACCCCGTGTGCACATTGATCCCCTGGTGTGTATGTTTTCAACCCTTTCCCGTTGAAGTTTACAGGTTTTTTTCAGCTATCTGGATTACCCGGATCCCAGTGCCGGCTATGGTGGCAGTTGGTGGCTCTGAGTATTTACTTATGTCAACATGGGTGGGCCCTGGTACTCCTCTGACCACTGGTCTGGTGTCTCCTCCCAGGATAATAGATTAAGTCAACCTTCTTTGCCCTTATAAAAGATTTACTTTTTCTCTTATTATTTATTTATTTATTTATTGTGGTGCTGGGGATTGAACCCAGGGCCTTGAGCATGTAAGGCAAGAGCTCTACCAATTGAGCTACACCCTCAGCTCCACTCCTATTATTTAAATTCCACAAATAATTCAGATGTGTTCATCTTTGTTTTTGATTGCAGGTTGATTGGATCAATTGTTTAAGATCAATGCATTTGCTTTCTGAAGTGCTCATAGTTTCGTGCACAATCTTGGTGCACACATGCCAGCTGTATATCACCACACCCAAAATAGCACCTTCAGAAGCGTGGACTTCTATTAAATGGCCCAAGACTTGGGTTTCTTGCAGCCATTCTCTTGTTTCCCTGTGTGAGGCAGGTCTATTGCTTCTCAGAGCTCTTACACAGAGGATCTTTGGCTCGTGAGCCAGTGTCCCCCTGGGCCAGGACTATACCTATTGCAGGTAGAAGTAGAATTCTTGGCAGCTTCAACTTAGAACTGTGCATTTCTCTTTTCAGCCTGTAATCTGGATGTGATTCTGGGGTTTGATGGATCAAGAGATCAGAATGTGTTTGTGACTCAGAAGGGCCTTGAGTCCAAGATGGACATCATCTTGAACAGGATCAGCCAGATGCAAAGAATCAGCTGCAGTGGTGGCCAGCTGCCCACCGTGCGGGTATCGGTGGTAGCCAACACACCCTCAGGGCCGGTGGAGGCCTTTGAATTCCAGGAGTACCAGCCAGAGCTGTTTGAGACATTCCGCAACATGCGCAACCAGCACCCCTACGTCCTCACCGCTGACACGCTGAAGGTCTATCAGAACAAGTTCCAGAAGTCCTCGCCAGACAGCGTGAAGGTGAGCGGGCCACACACTCCCTCGGCAGCCTCTGGAGTCTCTAGGGAGCAGAAGGCCCCAGTTATTCTCACATTCACACTCTGCACAGGACTAGGTTTTTCGTGCCCAGGTGGAAAAATTCTTCATTGATTGACTGGTCATAATTTCATGTCAAATTTTGCTAGCTTTACTTGAGCTCTAAAAAATATCCTTGGTATCAGTAGTGAAGCTTGAGTGAGTTGGATTTCTGATTCATTCATGTTTTTTTTGTGGTGCTGGGGATTGAACCCAGGGCCTTGTGCATGCCAGGCCCTCATTCATGTTCAATGATAGTCCTGCCCATTAAATAAGGCACGTTCTCAGCTTGTGTCTCTCTGTGTGTACGTGTTCCTACATATGTACATACACAGGCATGGGATGTGCACACACCATTTGTTTGTCAGGGATTTCATTACAAAGTACTGCAGGCTGGGTGGCTTAAGTAACAGAAATTTATTATTTCCTCTTAGCAAGGAAGGCTGCAGTCTGACCTCAGCTGTCAGCAGAGTGGGTTTTCTCTGAGCCTGGCCTCTGTTGGTGCACTTGGCTGCCCTCTGTGTTACTGTGTCCTAAACTGGAAAGGACACCAGTCATTGTAGATTAGAGGCCACCTGAGACCTCGCTTCACTTTATCGCCCCTCACCTCCTTCTGAGCATAGCACATTCTGGGTGCTGGGGTTAGGACCTCGGTGTGTGGGTTTTGAGGAGAGCACAGTTCAGCCCCGGACAGACAGACAGACACACACCATTTGTAGATACCACATCTGAGAAATAGGAGATGAGAATGAGGTGAGCTGATTTATTTTCATTACTATTTGTGATTTTAAAAATTAACTAAGCACTAAACTGTACTCATTTATTTCAGACCTCTTATTGTACAACATCCTAGACCACGGCCCAAAGTTCCTCAACTGTGAAATGAGGAGTTTGATTTAGACAAGACCCTTTTAGGCCCCTTCCCCAGCCTGTGAGTTTCTCTCCTGCTCAGGTGGGGCCTGACTCCTCTCTGGTCTGCAGGTGGTCATTCACTTCACTGATGGCGCAGACGGAGATCTGGCCAACCTGCACAGAGCTTCCGAGGCACTCCGGCAAGAAGGTAGGTTCAGGGGCTTCCTACCCGCGAGAACCAGCCCAGGCGAGGCAGGGCTTGCTGCTCTGCTGAGAGAAACCGCTGGTGGGAGTCTTTGGGGCGTGGGCAGCTTTAGTTGGAGGACTCTCCCTGGCATCTTGGCCTTTCCGTGCCAGCCTGGGGCTGTGGGATGAGGCTGACAGGAAATCTTTCTGAGCCAGGGATGGCTTTATCCCCAACCCCTGGTGCAAGCCCTCAGGCTCTGAGACCCATGCAGATGGCAGAACACCTAGAAGGCTGATGCGTTTGAATCAAGTGTTGAGTTGTCGCAGCCCGTTACATAAGCTAGAAATGCATGTGCTGCAAAAACTCCACAGCTCAAGGACACTGCAAGATTTAAGTTAAAAAACACTGGAATGAGACAAGATAAATGATATATATGAACTTAGCAAGTCTCAGGGGCAGGTGAGCAGACAGGTGAACGTCAGGGGGGTGAGCAGACAGGTGAACGCCAGGGCCAGGTGAGCAGACTGGTGAACGTCAGGTGCTCATCTGCTTTGAATTTGGCAGCGCTGACTCTCAGAGCAGCGGCTGTGAGGGAGGGCTCAGGGAGCGTTGGCGGAAGCAGGATTTATCTTAACAACCTTCTACTCATGAGCGTACTTCCCCAGCTTTGAGAGGAGACTGTGCTACCTGACTGGGGGGCCGTGGTGGTTTCCCACAGCACACCCCTGCTCCTAGGAGGGGCTTGAGAATTGCCATTTCCTGTCTTGAAAGTAAAGAGTTTAGCTGAGGACACATTGGAAACAGCCGCTCAGAGGAGTCTGCAGTGTCGGTATTGCAACCCTTCACAGCAGCTCATCAGTTTGATTAAGCATGTTAAAGCCAAATTTATGCTGCATTTGCTTAAAAAAAAAGAACAACACAAAAACCCAGCCAGGAAAACCATGTGGCGGCTCGACAGGCCTGGGTGAGCTGAGTGCCCGTCTCTCCTCCAGGTGTCCACGCCCTGATCCTGGTGGGCCTGGAGCGGGTAGCCAACCTGGAGCAGCTGACGCAGCTGGAGTTCGGGCGAGGGTTCATGTACGACAGGCCCCTGCGGCTCAACCTGCTGGATTTAGACTATGAACTGGCGGAGCAGCTCGTGAGTTTTATTCTGAGGTCTTTGCTGTGATCTAGGTATGGTGGTTTTGGCATCTCAACACAAGGAAGCCAGTTATGGCCCGGGGAGCGGGGACAGGGCTCTGGGTGGTGATTCAGTTTGTGCAGTTCACTTGGGACCGGCCTTGTTGCCCTCTGTGTGGATCCTTGAGGAGCCAGCTTGGAGCTGGAGCATCAACAGCTGGAAGGTGGGTCGGTGGGTCTGCAGACCCGCGGCTGGGAAGTCCTCTGGGCCCAGGAGCAGTGGCTTTTTTGCAACATCCCCAGCCACCCCCACCCACCCTTTCCCCCCCTCCCCCAGGGCTGAGGACCAAACTCAGGGCCGCGTGCTCGTCAGGCAAGTGTTCTGCCACTGAGCTAAATACCCACCCCCCCTTTTTTATTTTTAATTTTTTATTTTGAGACAGGGTCTCACTAGGTTGTTTATAGACTTGTGAAGCTGCGGAGGCTGGCTTTGAACCTGTGATCCTCCTGCCTCAGCCTCCCAAGCTGCTGGGATTCCAGGCGTGTGCCACCGTTCCTGGAGAATTGTAGCTTCTTATAATGACTTTTCATTCGTAAGATTGCTGGGAAGGCAAAAGCTTGCCACTGACCAGCCCTGGACAGGCAGCAGCCACCACAGTATCTGAGAATTTACATGATGAAAACAAGATGTCACCTAAAAAGGAAGGCCAAGGCCCCTCTAGGGGAGAAGAGGTTTCATTGCCTTCCTCTCTGGTTTCCTTGGTGCAGGGGGAGAAACCCCCTGAGGCTTCTCTTCACCGAGCCCAGACTCTCTCAGCAGGCGGAGTTGCCTCGTGGCCTGGGAGACGCGGGAGGCAGGCCCCATGGAGAACTAGGGTTCTTTGGTGGTGGCAATAGAGAGCCAAGTGGTTGGGGTGAGCCGCCTCTGCCCCTCCTTCCCTCCTACCTTCGTCCGGGCTGCAGTTAGAAGTTTTTACTGGGTCGAGTCAGTTGACGAATCTGGGACGGGGGAGAAAGTGAGAGCTCCAAGAAGCTCATTGCAGGAACACGCGTGTGGCCTCCGCTGGCTCAGCAGATGGAAACGCATCTGGGTTGCGCCCTTGCCTCTTAAGGTCAGGCGGTAGGGTGGACAGAAGTGTGAAGTGTGTGTGTGTGGGGGGTGTTCCAGGCCCTGGTGACCTGGAGTTGGGTTGTGGCCTTTGTGGCTCAGCAGCTGGGGCCACTTGTGTCTGCCGCAACCCACGGTGGCTCCAGGGTCCCCTCCAGGCTGGTGCCGTTTTCTCGGAGGACGGCTCTGCAGAAGCCATGCCCTGCCTCTCTGTTTTGGAACCATCTTCAGTCTGGCCAGTTGCGGTCTGTTGGTTAGGTCTGCACCGGACTCTAAACATGGGGTAGTTATACTTCTAATCTGAAGCTTGGCTGTCTGTGTTGGAAGCTTTTAGAAACGTGGTCACTATGGGGACACAGTGGAGGAAATCTACCTTACTGTGGTTGCTCTTTTCTTTCCTTTTGGTGACTCCCTCCTGCTGTTCGTGGAGCTGAACGCTCAGCCAGGCCTGTCTTTGCGGGACTGCCCCTTGGGTGACCACGTCTCACACTGCGAAGCCCACATGTGTCAGCTTTGATCTTTATCAGCATATTCATGACTTTTGGCTCGGCATTTCTTGCTGTCTGAACCCTGTGCTCTTCTTCACTTTGGCAGGACAACATTGCTGAGAAGGCTTGCTGTGGGGTTCCCTGCAAGTGCTCTGGAGAAAGGGGAGACCGCGGGCCCATCGGCACCATCGGGCCAAAGGTGCGTGGCTTACTTGACCCTCCCTTAGACTTGAGCCTACAGCTGCCTCAAAGCTGACCATGGCTCAGCTGGGTCACTTCTCTAATATGTGGCCAGGAGGGGCATTGCTGAGGGCCTGCTGGAGAAGGTGCGGGGGGGTCCACGCGTCTGCCAGTCTCCTCTTCCAGGGGATGAGGGAATCTCTTCTTTAATAGACTGGTTCTTCATTTCCTAGACTACTACGGACACTGTGGCACTGCGCCTGGTGGCCTCCCTGTGCTGGGCAGCCGGATTCTTAGCATGGGCTTCTAGCAGGAAGCCAGCAGGCTTCCTTGTCAAGGGACAGCCCGGAAGCGTTAAAGTCTAGGCAATACCCGAAGCCCTGCTGGGTTTCAGCTCCACTCTGCCCAGCGAAGGCTCCCAGGGAGGGATGCAGAAGGAGGAGCCCGGGTTTCACAGGGACCGCTGTACTGTGTTTCAGGGCATTCCTGGAGAAGACGGCTACCGAGGTTACCCTGGCGATGAGGGCGGACCCGTAAGTGCACGCTGCCCTGTCCCTTAAGCTCTTGTCTCCTGTCCCCTCTGTGCCGGGGTGAGTTGTGTCCATCAGCTGTGCGGTGGCTGATGGCTTCTCTTTGAGAGAAAAAATTCTCTTCCAACATCCTTAACAGATTTCCATGCTGTGGAAAGTAGTGTCATAATGTGGGTGTGACAGATGTGGGTGAGGGTGGGGATGTGCTTCGTCTGTGAGACAGAGGGCCAGCAGAGTCTACCAAGCTGAGACCAGGGAGCAGAGAGGTGGAGGTGAGAGAGAGCTGAGCAGGGCACCAGGCAGGGCTGTGGTCACCCCTGTGGGACTGTGGTCACTCCTGTGGGAACGTCTCCCAGATGGGGCAGATGGGGTGTTCTGGATCCCTCTTCAGTATCTGGGGGGGCTGTGGAGGGTAGAAGAGCCCCCAGAAGGGCCTTTGGGGTCAGGGCCTGGGCCAGATGTGGGCCTGGGCCAGATGTGGTCCTGGGAGGCTTTGGGACCCTAGAACAAGGTCCAGCCCTGGAGTAGGGGACAAGAGGTCATGGGGAGTAGGTGGGTTCTCTAGGACCCCTGCAGAGATGCTGGGTGTCAGGCTGGCCTGGCCCCACTGGACAGCTGGGGACCAAGACCATGCAGAGGAGTGGCGAGAGGACAGATCCTCTGTGAGAGTCCAGCACCTTCCCTGGGCCAGTAGTGCCCTTTGGAGCTGCAACCCTCCCGTAGCCTGTTCTCTCTAGGGCAGCTACAGGTCCCTCCAGGCCTGGTGCTGGCTGCTGAGGTCCTTCTGACTCCCAGACTGCACAAGCATCGTTGCAGGGAACCCCTCCCTGGCTCTCTGTCTGCAGGACTGGGGAGACAGGACGAGGGCTCAGCTTGCCTGACGCCTTCCTTTCTCGCAACAGGGCGAGCGAGGTCCCCCTGGTGTGAACGGCACTCAAGGCTTCCAGGGATGCCCGGGCCAGAGAGGAGTGAAGGTACAGTGTGGGGTCAGGTTGGTGCTTGTAGGGTGACACACATTCACAGGGTGACGCGTGCTCAGGCTGACGCGCTTGCAGGAGGACACGCCAGCCTCTCCGTTCTCGGTGTCTGGCAGCCGGGGCCTCATCAGAAGGCAACCTGATGGGTGGGTCAGGAGCGTGGAGCTGGCCCCAGCTGGAAGGGAGCCCGGGAACGGAGGAGCCGTGGAAATACAGAGCAGTCAGGAGACAGTCACGAGGCGGTGGGAGGCCAGGGCCAGGTGGCCTCGCGCCCTGGGCCCGGGAGAGCCAGGCAGCCAAGGATCATCAGCTGGTGCCGCCGGAGTCTCTCCTCTGTGCCGAAGCTCCAGGCAGGTGCTGAGGGAGGCCCTTCGCCCTCAGTCTCTGAGTTGGCCTTGGCCTTGAGAGCACTGTCTCTTCTCTCGGGGCCACTTGACTTGCCAGGGAGCCAAGACCAGGCACATCAGTTCATGGCCCCCACGTGACGGAGAGAGGAAGCTGACGCAGCAGTTTTCAGACACTCGGGGTTCAAGGGGGGTGGGGGCGGCCTCCGGCCTCCTCTGCCCCAGCCACCCAGCCGGGCAGGAAGAACTCACCCTCCCCGTCCCTTGCCTTCCAGGGCTCTCGAGGATTCCCAGGAGAGAAGGTATTTGTGCTCGTTTTTGTTTTTGGAAAACTTCCCCCCGTCTGTCTCCCGATCTCCCCCGACGCTCACCTGTCTGCCTCGCTCCCTCTCAGGGCGAATTGGGAGAGATCGGCCTGGACGGTCTCGATGGGGAAGAGGTGAGTGATTTTACTTGTGAAGTCAAACCGCTCCTGGTCCCAAAGGTTCTAGAAACGAACCCCCTGGTCCACAGCTGTGCACCGTGTGATCTTGCTGTTGTCTTTGGCAGGGAGACAAGGGGCTGCCGGGGTCTTCTGGAGAGAAGGGGAGCCCAGGGAGACGGGTAGGTGAATTTCCATGGAGCTGCGCTTACGGAGAGAACACGGACGCCCCCTCTAGGGCCTCGGTATTTCCTTTATTCCTCCGCGGTCAGCCCTCTTCCTCCAGGCAGCCTTCCCTGACCTCCTCCCTGCGGGGACACCCCGGATGTCCCTCAAGTCCCCGGCCATCTCTGACACAACACACAGCATCTCCTGGCTTGGAGAGCATGTCCCACAGGGCAGGGACTGAGTGTCTTTGGTTATAAATAGGTCCCCAGTGCCTGGCTCCCCAGTAGATGTTTGTGGGTTCACTAAGTGATTCAGAAACATGGGGAAGGGGCTTTGCCTCATGTCATGTGAGCACACGGTGACGCCGTTCAGCCAAGGGGCAGGAACCGGAGCCTGGGATATTCAGGGCAAGACAAAAACCCGGTGAAGGAGTGTGGGGACCTGGTGTGCGGCACCACTGTAGCTGGTGGAGTAGAACAGTGCTGGGGATCCGGGCTGAGTAGGCGATGTCTTCTGCTCTTGTCACGAAAACAAAGTAACTGTGTGTGACAAGAGATGTCCGTTTTCTTCACTGTGGACATCGTTTTGCTGGCTACGTATATCCCATAGCATCATGCTGTGAACCTCAAATACACTCAATAAAATTCATTCAAAAACCTCCAAGACACTAAGTTTTTCGCTTCCACTTCTGTGTTTATTTAGGGTGACAAAGGACCTAAGGGAGACAAAGGAGAGAGAGGGGACGTGGGGATCCGTGGTGACCCGGTAAGGTTCCCATCAGTCCTGAGCTGCGGGGAGGTGGCGGGGCATGGGGAGGAGGGACCTCACTGGAACCCTGTGACGCGTCCCTGTGCCTGCTGTGCTCTTCCTGCAACCCGGGGTTGCTGGGTGACGTTTGTCCCCAGCTACAGAGAGGAGCATCTGCCGCTGGTGTCACAGGGAGACCTCAGAGGCTTTTCCACAGTGCTGTCTCAGGACGCTTCAAGTCTGCTTTTGGAAACAAGAGCCCATTTCCCGCTTTCCCTGTTTCATGGCTCTGTAAAAGGGTCCACTTCTGACCCGCCTGTCCCCTGGGACCCAGCCTCTGTGACGAAGGACAGGTTCCAGTGACCTGGGCATTCTCCTCCCAGAGCGGCTTGCTGACGCCCTGCTCGGCTCCGTCACAGTGGATGGATGCTGTCTGGGTGGGATGTGGCCCTGTGCCGCAGAGCCTTGTGCTCACGTCACGCTGATACTTCCTGGACCCTAGGGCCGTGGCTTTCCTGATACACAGACTCATCCCCTGGCTCATGTTGTTCTCAGGGTGAATCAGGACGGGACAGCCTGCAGAGAGGACCCAAAGGAGAGACTGGCGACATCGGCCCCATGGTACCGTGCTCTGTTCCTGTCCCCCTGTGCTCAGGGCTGAAGAAATGACTCTCACGCTGGCTCAGCAGCAGCTGCAGAGGCCACGCTGTGGCCTTTGACATGAGAGTCATGTGGACCGCAGCGGAGGCCCCGTGAGGCTGGCGAGTGTGTGCCCGGCCCTGAGGGACTCTCCGGGGCCAGAGCAGCCCATACAGATGGGCTGTGCCTTGGCAGAACGCATGCCCCTTAGGTATTTATGGAAGTGTGGGTCAAGCCAAAGGCTCGCGGACGTGGGGACGTACCTGAGGCTGACACTTCCTCCTCCTGCAGACGGGCTCTTCCCCGGGGACTGACCCTTCCTGACCCCTTCGGGCACTGTGCCAGGGTTAGAAGTTCATCTCTGTGGGTCAGCATCTCACGCCACTCTTTTCCCCCACACCAGGGTCTCCCAGGGAGAGACGGCGTATCAGGAAGTCCAGGAGAAACTGGGAAGGATGTGAGTAACCTTAGGGCTTTGGGGACCCTGCGGTGATTCTCAGCAAGTGCCGCATGATCTGCCAAGCACTGCCTGGTACACGGTCACTCAGCGGCTCTTCATTTAGGAACCTTACAGGGATTTCTGAGGCCATCTTTATCTGCCCATTCTGGGCTGTGCGGCTAGAATACTACAGACCGGGTAATTTATGATGTGCCTAGGGCAGGTCTCTGCTCTGACAGGAACAGAGGATGAAAGCTACACTGGGCCTGGGCAGCTGGGAATGGGTCCCCAGCCATCGTGGGAATAGCAGAAGCACATTCAGGTCCCAGTGGCCGACTGTGTGAGGGGCTTTCTAAGGGACAGGCTCCCTTGTAATCAGCTGAACACTCGTCATGCTTCCAAAATCCACAGGCCAGCAAGTATTGAAAATGATACCTTAAAAGATTTGAACATTATGATGCTGTAGAGTTACACAATGAAAAATCAATGTGGAAATGTTCATTTCTGGTGGCAATAAGCTCTCACGACTCAGTTTGTAAGTAGTTTCCTGAAATGACTTAAAGCGCAGGGTGCATACAGTTGGTTTCAATTCTTTGCACGAGGTAGAAGATGAATTGTGTCCCCCCAGCCACTGGGTGATATGACTCTTCACGCACCTGCCTCTGGCCTGGGTAATGAGTCACTGGGCACTAGGGCCTCAGACCAAACTCTAGGGTGTCCCCTTTGGGAGAGGGCCTTGCATTGATGATCCAGGACATTCCCGCGCTCCCGTCTTGAACTTCTGAGTTACTATGGGCGAGTGCACGTGTTTGAGCCAGAGCCACCTCTGGCGTGTCCAGGAATAGGTGTCCGAGGGACAAGCCTGATCTCAGTGCACAGGACTTCCAGGTTCACGGATGGGTCGGACCTGGACGCAGCGAGTGTTGTCCTTGGCCCTGTGCTGCGGTGCGGGGGACTCCCGGCTGGCAATGAGCACGTTTCATTTCTGCTCCCTGTGGCTGAGGGGATGGGAGGAAGTGAGGCAGGATGCTGTCCCGCGGTCCTCACTGCACTTGGCTGGGGACTCTTGTGCTGCTTGGCGGGTCGGAAGTGATTCTGGAAACTCCGCTTTGATTTGTAAGAGAGTGACAAGGAAGCAGGGCCCTCTGTGGTGGGGGTGACGAAGGCGGACTTGGTGCGGGTCCTCCTGGGTGCCTGGGCATAGTTTCTGACCCCGGGGCCAGCAGTGGGGATGCTCGGGCTGGGCTCAGGGGCCCCGGGTCCATGTCAGAGTCCCCGTCTCCTCTCACGGTGTGTGACTTTCCACAGGGCGGCTTTGGCCGAAGGGGACCCGCAGGAGCTAAGGTGAGTCCAGGCTGGGCATCTCTCCTGGAGGCACGCTGCCCCTCACTGCTGGGTGCAACCAGCCCAGGGTCAGATGCCCTCCTGGGCCGTCACGGCCACTGTTTCTGCCAGCCCCTCAAACTCAGCCCCTTCAATAGGGGAAAGGTCCCCAGGGGAGCGTGGGGGTGAAATGAAGGGGACATGACTGATCAGGGGATGTCCCTGACGTGTCCCTCAGCTGGTCCTCTGGCCTGTGAGGGACAGGCGTGGGACAGGCGTGGGTCTAAAGCGTCCTCATTTCACAAAGCCCTCCTGAGGGTCAGGTGAGGCAGGGTGAGAGACGTTTTAACGTGCAGAGGTGGCTGCCGTGTGTGTGGTGTCTTGTCCTGGGGTGACCCAGGTGACCCTGTCTGTCATCTGGCCTGGGAGAGCTGCGTTTCCCTGTGGCCCTGTGAGCCAGGCTGACTCCTCTTCTCTTGTCCCAAAGGGCAACAGGGGCGGTCCAGGCCAGCCCGGCTTCGAGGGAGAGCAGGGCACCAGAGGCGCGCAGGTGGGTGCTCCTGCGGTCACAGGCTTGTGACTCTGTCCCGGTTCCCTGGTGTTTTGTGGTTTTAAGATCAAGGTGGTATGCACACAGGATTGGCTATTTGACAATGTGCAGTTGGGGGCACGATGTGCCTTCAGTCTTGTGCAGTGGTCTCAAGCATTTTTATTAGCCCCCGAAGTGACTTTGTACCCCCCCAAGCCCCTGGTCACCACCAGTGCTTGTTTGTATGTATTTGTCTATTTTGAACATTTCTTATCAATGCAATCATTTCATGGGTGACTTTTGAGTGTGGTACCTTTCACTTAGTAAAAGATTTTTGAGTTTTATCCATGTGTGGCATGTGCCAGAATCTCATTCCTTTTCATGGCTGAATAATGTTCCACTGTGTGGACGTAACACAGTGGTTCTGTTTGTCAACTGTTCAGTGATTGGGTTGTCTCCACCTTTGGTGACTGTGCGTAAAGGTCACATGGGTCCCCTCAGCAGGACTTACAGTGGTCTTTCACTCCTCAGGGCCTACCTGGTCCCATTGGTCCTCCAGGCCTGATTGGGGAGCAAGGTATTTCTGGACCTCGGGTAAGTGTCTCCCTCTGACCTCCCCTCTTTAGCTAAATAGATAGCCCAGAACCTGGCCAGGCTGGGACTTCATGGGTGATGGGACTGTAGGTGGGCCTGTCCCTCAACTCTAGCCTGCAACACACACCCTGGGTCTATCTTCGGTCCTCTCAGTGAGAGAAACGAGACCCCATTTCTTAGTGATCCAGTGACTTCTACGTCCTGATCTGTTTCTCCCAAATGTGAGCCCTGGGTGGCAAACGGGGGAGGAAGTGCCTCAGGATGGAACTGGATAAAATCTGATCAGATCTACCAGAATCAGTAGATACGCCAATGTGCCACTGTTAGCTCACGCTGGGCCCCCAGAGAGAGCCCCTCTAATTCAGCTCTTAGTGTGGGGTCCCTCCACCTCCAGTTCAGAGCAGAAGGCGTGAGCTTGCTGTGACCGTAGGTGTCAGCATGTGTCTCAGCCATGGAAGACAGAAGCAGGGTGCCATGGTTGGGTGGGCTCCAGTGCTAGGACCCCACCCTATTCAGGTTTCTCTCATGCCCGAGATGATAGGCAGGGAGCCACGTCGTCACTGGCTGCAGGACGTGGCCGTGGCTGGTCAGCTGGTAGGCCTGCTCGTGTAGCTACCAGGCGTGCAGGAGTGTGTGGTGGTGGAGGCCGCTCGGTGACAGCTGTCAGTCATTGCTTAGAAAGTCCTTTATCACTTGAGAATGGATAAATAACTAGTTTTTAAGTTTCTGGGTTGTATTTTTTTTTTTTTAACATTTGTTGAACTTCTGGTTTACCAAGAATTCACGTGGCACAGGTGCAAAATTGCCCAAATAATTGAAGTTACCAACAGCCCAGAAGCATCCATTAGTCGGTGCTTCCCACACCTCCTCTAGGGCCGTTGCTGGGTTGGGTAGGCTGCACCCATTGTAAGGTTTACTTTCATTCATTGATTTACCCATTCACTCAGCAGACACTTAAGTACCTCTGGATACCAGCTGCTCATTGTGGGGTGGAACGTAGAAGGGGAAACACAGTCCCATAAAGTCAGGGGCTTGTTGGGAACCTAACATTTGCATGTGAATTAGCTGCAACACGCAGGAGTCCTGACCGAGGGCTCTGGGCAGTCATGCTGGTATCTGAGACGGGCACCAACCATTTCTGTGCATGTCAACCTTTGAACGTCAAGGGCTTGGGATCCGTAGGCAACATAGTTCACCTGCCCTTGGGCTTGACCTCCACACAGGAAGGAGCTGGGGTTCAGGGGCCCGTGGGCTTGGATGGTGACCCCTTCGTGACATACCCCTTTCCTTGTGCCACAGGGAAGTGGAGGTCCTGCTGGGGCTCCTGGAGAACGTGGCAGAACTGGTCCCCTGGGAAGAAAGGTTTGTCTGGACCAAGGAAGAGCTTTTCCGAGGGCGGGGACTTGGGTGGAGGCACATGTCCCCTCGACCTCACTGAAGATTCTGTCTGCTTAGTTTGCTCCTCCTCTGTGCTGACCTGCGGATAGCCTCACCAGCCCCATCACTGCGCTCACCACGACCTGCCCAGTGGGCTGCTCTCTCCTGACCAAGCCCCCCCACTCGCTGGCTGATAATCTGGTCCATTCTTGCCTGACGCAAGCTGAGGGAGCAGTGTCCTCTGATTCCCCAGAGCAGCCGGGCACAGCTCTGCGTGGTCTCAGTACCACAGGGCGCCACGATTTTTACATCTGGGCAGAGCACACGCAGCAGCTCTGTGCACTGTGAAGTCATAGAGACCTAGACCCCGGTGACTTGTGCCACAAAAGGCTGAGCACCTGCCTCTATGGGCTTTGAGAAAAAGGACTCTTTCTTCCCCAGAAGCCTGCTCCCATGCCCTGGGAGAATAAGCGCCAACCCTCTGACTTCTTTCTCATGCTCCACATATGAATGCGGCAGTTTTAAACAATACATGTGACTTTTTAGATTGACGTATAATAACTACGTATTGGGGGTACGCTGTGATATTCGATGTGGGTATAGAGTGCACAGTGTTTCTTCGTGGTGGGAACCTTTGAACTGACTCCCTCCGGTGTTCTGGACATGTACAATGAGGTCGAAGCTGGACACCTCCTGTGCCACACGACACCAGGACGCACTCCCCTTTCCAGTCGCTTGGGTTGCTGTGGCTCAGCCTCTCCGTCCCCTGCACCTTCCCAGCCTCCTGACCGCGGCTTGCTCTCCTCTCAGTTGTTCTCATGGCTTCTGCACGTCAGGGAAGACACTGGGGTCTGTCTTTCTGCGCCTGGCTCATGGCAATCATAAATGACCTCATAGAAACTGAGCTTCCAGGGGCCCTGGGGGACAGCGGCCGAGCAGCAGCAGGGCTGGAGCACTGCGCCCCAGCCTCACTCACCGCGTCCCCCCTGTCCTCTCCTGTCCAGGGCGAGCCTGGAGAGCCAGGGCCAAAGGGAGGAGTCGGGAACCGCGGCCCTCGCGGGGAGACGGTAAGGCCCCGGGCACTCTGTGCGCTGCTGATTCTGGGGCAGTAGGGAAGCTGGGACCTCGGTTCCCACGGGAGGCGACTGGGCATTGCTTTTTGTATTACTGGGGATAAGACTGAAAATCCTGGAATCTGCTGCTTGTAAACAGCCAGTAAGTTTCAAAATGTCTCACTTAATTGGCGAGGGAGGGAGTGCGGGAGCCTCTCTGCTAGGTGAAGGCGGGGTTTTCCAGAGCTTGAAGCCGCTTTAGACCCCACACACTTGACCTGCTGGAGCTCTCCTTCATACAAGTTCAGGTGCTTGGGTTGACGTGGGATTGGATTAGGTAAGGTCTCCGTCCGAGGGAGACCGTTTCTTCTGAATGAGACATCCTAGGAACAGAAATCATGATCACTCATTTTTGAGAAGGTTATCTAAACTCATCCAAGTCTCACTAACAGTGATTTTGTCATGTCTATTTCTATGTAGGAAAAGGAAACCTATAATTCGCTGGGAATTTTCTAAAATGAGTCACTGCACCTGAAAACTCTGTACAGACCGTGCGCATCAGACGTTATGAACCCCAAGTTTTAAAATATTTCTCTCGTGTTTCTTGTCTTCGGCTAATTGAAGTTAAAAAAAAATCCTATTTCTATTACTTTTAGTCTCAGAAGCAGAGGGGAAAAATCAGACTTTAAGATCTATTCAAATCACTGAAAGCAACCTCTCCCTGAGTCTGCTTCCGGACATTTGGGGTGATTGCTCTTAGCTCTTGGTGTCTATTTAAAATTGTAAATTATCGAAGTGTTGATTTCAGATACATCAATGTAGATTTCATATAAATTGTTCTGATGCTTTTGGAGGAGTTGACGGTGCCCATTCTGAATGTCCCACAGGAGAGGGCTGGGGACAGGTGCTGGGCATGGGGAGGAGGCGTTTGGAAGGAGAGTCATCTGGACAGGGTGCCTTGGGAGGACAGGAAGGGGCTCAGAGAGGGGGAGCCAAGAGAGCCCGAGAGTTGGGTTCATTATCCCTGTTTTTGGTAGCCTCAAAGACTCCTGGATGATATTCGTGAGGTGGCCCCAAGATTCCTTCCAACTCTAGGATTCCCTGGTTTGCTGAGCTCTGCGTCCAACAGTACTTGATGTTTGCAGGCTGCAGTTCTCGAGGGCGAGCCGCTCATTCAGAGTATTCGTCCTTCTCCATATTCGCAGTCCTCTGCCCCGGGTTGCTAAGAGGTCCTTTGTGCCCTCCACCTCTGGACATGGCTTTGTTCACACACCTGTAGGATGGGGGAGGGTGGGAAGCATTCCTTCTCCTGCTCCTGGTCTGGGGACATTTCAGGGCCTCAGGGACTGTCTGCTCAGGACAGCAGCAGGGCAGCCAAGGTGGCTGTTCAGTGCCCACAGGGGCACCGGCAGTGATGTTCTCTTTTCCTTCTAGGGAGATGACGGGCGAGATGGAGTTGGCAGTGAAGGACGCAGAGGCAAAAAAGTATGTCCTGCGAGGCTCTGGAAAAGTCCCTGTTGTCTCATGATTTAGAAAATTCTCTGTTTAAATCTTATTGTATTTTAGTGATAGATATTTATGTTTGATGATTCTACAGACTTTTTTTTTCTTTCAAGGTCAATTTATTTTAGGTGATTTTAAGTTGGTACCCAATATTGAGCCACTTATTTGTGTTTTACAGGGAGAAAGAGGATTCCCTGGGTACCCAGGACCAAAGGTAAATATTCCCTGGGTTTGCAGGAGTCCGTGTGTCTGTGAACCAAAAAGCACATCATCTTGGCTTCAGTCGCCACATACTCACTCCACCTCCCTGGGAAAGACCCCACCCTCTCCGGGGTACTCCCTCTTCTAGCACAAGGAGGTGACAGCACAGCGCTTGTGAGGTTCCCTGGAGTAAGAGTGTAAGATGTGGTAGCTTCCGGGATACCGTCACTGCTGATTAAATAACCCAGGCTGTCAGCAAGTGCCACCAGGACGCTGGCAGCCTTCGAGAAGCCAGCCCCTAAGCACCTGGCCGTCCTGAGAGTGTGGTCCAGACGCCTCACGGCAGTCCTGCCCACGGTCCCCAGCTGGACCTTCTGTTCCAGAGCTTGATGTGCTATTTTTTGGTTCTCTTCCAGGGAGTCCCTGGTGAGCCTGGGGGAGCTGGAACACCTGGACCCAAAGGCATCCGAGGCCGAAGGGTGAGCTCGCCTGGGCCTGGGCCGCGGCTGGGAATGGCTACGTGCAGAACAGCATCACTAACTGCCGAGGCCCGGGAAATCGCCCTTCCCTTGGGCCTGGCCAGTGCCACCACGGGGTGAAAGAGCAGGAGCCCCAGGTCCTAGGCCAGTGTCTCATGGCCCCCTGGGGCTGTGGTCTGCGACCTTCCTCCTTGCCCTCCTGCCCACTGGGCAGTCCTCAGAGCCCCCTCCCCTAGGATGCCTCAAGGTGCCCAGCCCCCAGTCACCCCCAGTGGGGCGTGAGGGAGGCTCAAGTCAGGGGACTTTGGGAGTCCGTGCAGTCACATTTGGCCAGGGCCCCGGACAGTGGGGCAGCGGGGCTCGCTAGGTGTCGGGGCCACTTACGAGGGCTCCTGGTTGGACCACAGGCTCTGCAGCACTGGCTGATGAGCCTCCCCTTCTGTTAGCTGCTCCCAGATCTGGATTTCTCTCTTTAGTGGACTTTCCTTGCCCTCCTAAGACTGCACCGGGTCTTGAATTAGGGACCCATGCTCTAGGCGGAGGCGAACATGGCTAAGACTAATCTCCAGCCTGCAGTGCAGTTGGGCAGTGAGGGTGATGGCGCTGTAAACGTGGTCAGCGAAGACAGTCAAGTGAGGCATTTTTACTCAAGGTGGAGTTGGAAGCACGATCAGTCATCCGCACCAGAGATCCTCTAATTCATTTGCGGTTACTGAATCTCTTGGGCATTCGAGCTAACACTTTGGTTGGTTGGCGGGCAAGCCTTTGTCCCACCTGAACCTGCCAGAGAACACAGTCATGCGAACTGACTCCAGTGTCCAGGTCCCTTGTTCTGCACTTGACTTGTGGGGCGTTTGCATCCCTGAGTGGGGACTCAGTGGGGGTGTGGGATATTGGGTCGATTGCCTTCACCATCCTTCCCGGCTGCAGGAGCTGGGAATGAGCAGGGTCTGTTCTACCCACTCTAGGGAAATTCAGGACCTCCGGGGGCCGTCGGACAGAAGGGAGACCCTGGCTACCCGGGACCATCCGTAAGTACCCATCTAGCTCCACCTGAGCCCAGGGGTGGGTAAGGCTGGGGACTTTCCATGGGTCCCTAGAGACTCCCTCATGTTTTCCTCACAAGAATGGGCTGGGTTTTGTTATTTTTTGAAAAAAACACTGCCCTTCTGATATTATAATGGGGAAAAGAACTTTTGAATTTTGGAATAACAAGAAACTTTAAACAACCTGTTTCCTGGGAGCTGGGTGTGGCTAGGTGGCAGAGCCTATGCTGAGGATGCACCAGGTGTCCTGATCTGATCCCCAGCCTATAAACCAAAAGCAAGTGTTTCCTGTGGTTCTCTGCAGTCCAGGGAATGCTGTGATTTGCCTTTATAATTTCCTGATATCGGCCTGTGAGGGGAAAACAAGAGCAAAGTCAGTGCGTCTTGTTTGCATCTCATGGAGGTGGTCTACCTGTGTCAGGTCCTGGTGTGGGGGGTCTCCCTTTGCCCACTGAATCTCCATGGGATCTCCAGATGTGTGGCTGAGAAGCCACTAGCCATGCTTCCACCAGGAGCCAGGAGGACTCTATTACTAATATCTTTGTGTCCTTATTTTACTTTGTTTCTGTATTGAAATTGATGAGGTTCACAGGTGAATGGAAAAGGTGACTTTGGGTTGTAAAAGTGACTCCTGGAGGGACAGATGAAGGGCCTTGTTTGGGTGGAGCAGGGTGGCCATCAGGGTATGAGGCCTTGGGGTGAGCAGCCTAGCTCTGTCTTAGAGCCGGGGGGTGGGTGGGGACAGTCCAGTCGAGATGGGAGGCTGTGGACACCGAGGGCCTGGGATGGTTTAGCGGTGCCCCCCCCCCACCGGCTTCTGTGTGCAAGCTCTCCTCTCGGGAGAGGGGTATCCAGGCTCAGGCTCAGGTGTGGACTGGCCATTAATGGGTGACAGGCCCCTAGGATGAGGGTATGCAGCTACTCTGCAAGCCAGGCTGCCCGCCAAGGGACGCACTGCTATTCTGGGTCTTCTCTGCTGAGCTGTTTGAGCAATCAAGGCGAGTTTAGAGCGAGCGGCTGGAGTGGCCAAGGTCACCAAGGGTCTGCCTCGCTCCCGTCACGTTAGCGTGGGCCAAAGGCAGTTCCTCTGAATGCCACATCCGCACCACAGCTGCGCCTCTCAGCCTGTCCTCCCTTGGTTTCACAGGGTCACAAGGGCAATCGAGGCGACTCCATTGACGTAAGTTGCATGCGTCCAGAGCAAACCATTGTCCTGCCGGCCTTGCTCCCGCTCTCCTCACACACTCTTCCGTTTTCTTTTAAAGCAATGTGCCCTTGTCCAGAGCATCAAAGACAAATGCCGTAAGTGCAGACCTCCTTGGCCCTGACACGGGTATCTTTACCTTTGAACCCTCAAGCCATAGTCGTGCCCTTCACCGTTTCTTCTCCTTCTCCCTTTCTAGCTTGCTGCTATGGTAAGTGACTGCGGTGGTGCCACTTTCTTCTGAGGAGAGGAGGACCCTTCCCAGTGAGTACTGTCTGCCAACCCGCCCCTCTCCACAGGGCCCCTGGAATGCCCCGTCTTCCCGACGGAGCTAGCCTTTGCTTTGGACACCTCTGAGGGGGTCACCCAGGACACGTTCAGCGGGATGCGAGACGTTCTTCTGAAGGTGGTGGACGGCTTGACCATTGCGGAGAGCAACTGCCCCAGGGGGGCCCGTGTGGCCGTGGTCACCTACAACAGCGAGGTGACCACAGAGATCAGGTTTGCCGACTCCAGGAAGAAGGCCGTCCTCCTGGAGAGCATCCGGAACCTCCAGGTGCCGCTGACCTCCAAGCAGCACAGCCTGGAGACAGCCATGTCCTTCGTGGCCAGGAACACGTTTAAGCGCGTGAGGAGTGGGTTCCTGATGAGGAAGGTGGCCGTCTTCTTCAGCAACAAGCCCACCAGGGCCTCCCCGCAGCTGCGGGAGGCCGTGCTCAAGCTCTCGGACGCGGGCATCACCCCGCTGTTCCTCACGAGCCAGGAGGACCGGCAGCTCGTCAACGCCCTGCAGGTCTGGGCTCCGCGGCCGCCGCGGCCTCCCTCTCCTCCCGCCCCGGGGAGCTTCTCAGCACACCCCGCTCTCCAGGGTGGACTTGCGTCCCGGTGAGGCCAAGCTGAGGACCTCTGGGAGGTGTCCGAGGCTCTGGCCCCGGTGCGGCGCCAGCCACCCCTCCAGGTCCCTCCTCACGGTCTGCAGCTCTGACCTGCTAGTGAGGCTCTGGGCCTCGCCACCGAGTCCAGCGTCAGTGTTGGTGGATTCCCTCTGCCTCCCAAGAGGGTGGTGTGGCCGTGTCCCTTCCTCAAGGGACCTGGAAACACTCCCTGTGTGCACGGCCAGGCCCACCTTCCCTGCGCCTCTGGGACATGTGCCCTTCCCAGTTGATACTAACGTTGACTTGCTGTAATTGATGAATTAATGTTTATCCAGGGCCACTTCTGCTGGGTCTGTCCAAAGCATGTGGTCAAGGGGTGCGAAAGGCAGGAGCCCCTGACCTGGATCGGGGGGCCTTGGTGCTGGTCCCATCCTGGCCTGCTTGCCCTCACAGGGCCTTAGGTCTCTCTCCTGTAAGGGGAGGCTGGGGTGATGGTGTCCAGTGTCTTCCCTTCAACATGGTGTTCTGTTGTCCTCTGCATGCATGGGCAGAGGACAGTGGGCCATGGCCACCGTTTCTCCGTGCCTTATTCTGCGGGATTGTGTGGGCCAGTTTGAGCACAGGACACTGGGCCCGGGGTCCAGTTGGAACTGTGTTTGTGTGAGGGTTCCCTTTTCATGCCTCCTCCCTATGTGGGCGGAGTGACCTGGCGCACATGTGATTCTTGACAGTGTTTTCTGGAAGGTGAAGAAGGGATTCTTCCTTTATCCTTCACTCTCTCACTCAAGTTGATGAGTAGTGACAGTTTGCACGCCAGCCACTGTGATGGGCAGAGCTCTTCCCTTCTGGGAGTGATTTCCTGTGGGCTTGGTCACTATCGAAGCCTCAAAGGGTGGGGACCGGATGGGGCTCACATTTGCCAACTGCTGCTGTTGCTAAAAGTAATCCAATATCTAAGTCCCCGGTATTTGTTAGAGGACACGCCAGACGTTTGACTTACATTATCTCATTTAATCCACCAAATAACTCCATTAACGGGAAGGTACCACTAACCCTGTATTATAGCGGAAGAAACAGAACCCCAGAGAGGTTGAATAATTTCACATGAGGCCCAGCAGAAGGTGCAGGAGGAGGAACTGAACTCAGCCCATCCCTTAGAACAAGCCCTGTGCCTTCCTCTCGGACAGTGCCGCTCCCCTCCCCCGACCCAGGTGGGAAGGTTCTGAGCCCCTGGGAAGTTGGTCTACTGATGTGACTTGGATTTATTCCTATACGTTCAAATAGTTCCCTGTCACCAACCCTCCCATACCAGGCATCTCTCCTTTTGTTTAAACCAGATCAACAACACAGCGGTGGGGCACGCCCTCGTCCTGCCTGCAAGGGGGGACCTCACGGACTTCCTGAAGAACGTGCTCACCTGCCACGTTTGCCTGGGTAAGGTCTTCTCCAGGGGAAAGTCTATCCACGGCGATTCAGGACCACAGCCACGGGGGACCTCCTAGTGAGACTGTGAGCTGTCTGAAGCGCTGGAGTTAAACTAAGAGGCTCCTGGGGGCCGATGTAAATGCCGATGAGGGGCCTCCTTATTTAAAGTGGACCTCCCCACACAGAGCCTCTCTTCTAGAGGGAGACAAAGGAGAAGGTGGCCCCATTCCAGTTACAGCCTTAAAATCTGGGATTAAAATGTTTGGCTAAAGTGACCTTTCAGAACCTATTTCTTCAAAGAGTGGCTAAGAATGGGGGATAATGTTCCCTTTTCGTTTGAAATGATGGTCTGGTGATGATAAAGGGAGTACTTTACTGATTTGTTCTTCTAATGAGTTTTAGGGGGTGAGAGCTGATATCTGGCCACAATCAAGTTGAGAGATAATAGGTTTCCGTCTTGGGTGGCAGTTCTGAGTACCCAGACTCTGTGGGAGCCCAGGATAAGTGGGCTGCCACGCTTCTTTCCAGACATCTGCAACATCGACCCATCCTGCGGATTTGGCAGCTGGAGGCCAGCCTTCAGGGACAGGAGAGCAGCAGGCAGCGATGAGGACATTGACCTGGCTTTCATCCTGGACAGCTCAGAGGCCACCACTCTGTTCCAGTTCAACGAGATGAAGAAGTACATAGGCTACCTGGTCAGGCAGCTGGACCTGAGCCCAGACCCCAAGGCCTCGCAGCACTTTGCCAGGGTGGCCGTCGTGCAGCAAGCCCCCTTCGAGTCTGTGAGCAACGCCAGCGTGCCGCCTGCGCGGGTGGAGTTCTCCCTGACGGACTACGGCTCCAAGGAGAAGCTGCTGGACTTCCTGAGCAGGGGCATGACGCAACTGCAGGGGACCCAGGCCTTGGGCAGTGCCATCGAGTACACCATAGAGAACGTCTTTGAGAGTGCCCCCAACCCCCGGGACCTGAAGATCGTGGTGCTGATGCTGACGGGCAAGATGCAGCAGCAGCAGCTGGAGGAGGCCCAGAGAGCCGTCCTCCAGGCCAAGTGCAAGGGCTACTTCTTTGTGGTCCTGGGCATTGGCAGGAAGGTGAACGTCAAGGAGGTGTACGGCTTTGCCAGCGAGCCCAACGACGTCTTTTTCAAACTAGTGGACAAGTCGACTGAGCTCAACGAGGAGCCTTTGATGCGCTTTGGGAGGCTGCTGCCGTCCTTTGTCAGCAGTAAGTCCTGCAGAGCCTAGCACTTGTCTGGCCACGCTCTGTGCTAGCCCCACAGTCCAGGCCACTGGGGCAGGCAGGTAGCCACAGGAGAGATACCAGTGTGCTGACATGCACGTGTCCCTTTGCTCAACAAGTAGATGTGATGCCTGTCATATGCTAGAAATGCTCTTAGGAGCCAGCGTCAGCAGGGGACACACAGACAACAGTCCTGGTCCTCATTTACTCATTTTTAATCCCAAATTTGATGGGGACCTCCTTGCCGTAAGATGCGATTGGTGTTCCAGAGGTTTGCTGGGTGGGCACGGGGGTCAAGCAGACATTCACTATGCATGCCCCAATAAGCTGATGCCTTAAAGAAGTGTATCCTGTGGGGGGCATTGATCTGGGATTAGCCACCAAGCCCACGCTTGCTTCCCCTGCATCTTTGCCACTGGGGATCTTCCTCCCTAGAATATTCCCCCACCTTCTTATCAAATGCATCAAAACTCACCCTGTCTGCCCCAGCTCACTGTGGATACTCCCTCTCTCAAGGCCTGTGCTTGGTGAACCTGGATGCCAAACTTGGGCCATCTGTTATCTGGACCACTGGTCATTTTTTTGGTGGGTCTGGTACAATGCATAGTCAAACAAGCAGAGGCTGTGTATCACCCCAATGGGGGATCTGCAAAGTCTGAACACACAGGGCCCCGCTGAATATTTATGGTCCAAGAGAAAGTCTGTAAAGGCCTTTCCCCAGAACACACCAGGGAAACGTGAAGCAAAGGAAAGCCACACGTCCACCCAGGGATTGCTGTTCCTGTCTTCAGAAGGTTAAAAACAAAAGTGTTATCGAGCAAAGCTCTGAGAAAATATTAACTGTAATTGGACTATAATTTGATGTTTGGAGTTTGGAACTTGCTAAGCTCTCCTCATGAGTTTTCTTCTATTCCTGTCTTCTTCCTCACATTGAGTGAATACCATCTTTAACCCAATCACTCAATTACCAAATAGAACATACTGGCCTGAGCTGTGGTATGAATCTAGTACCATCACCCTTAATGGTTAACATCACTGGGCTTAGCTTGTCTGGAAGAACCAATTAATTTGATAAATATTTATGGCCGACTAAGCATTATCTCTAGTCATATCAGACTGATTTTAATTTCTATATGACTCATGTGCAGTTCAAATATTTTTTCTTGTTTTTCTCTAGGTGAAAATGCTTTTTACTTGTCCCCAGATATTAGGAAACAGTGTGATTGGTTCCAAGGGGACCAACCAGCAACTGCTATGAAGTTTGGTCACAAACAAGTGTAAGTGATTATAATTATTTTTGAAAAAATTGTGGTGCTATAGGTGGAATGCAGAGGTCCTCCAACCATCCTCTAACTTTATGGAGGAGGACATTGACATTCAGATAGTAGGATGTCTCAAAGGTAATGTAGGATGTTCTTAAAGAATTTGTTATATTGGTTAGCTTTTGCTGCATAACAAACTACCCAAAACTCAGTGGAATGGCTTACAGCAGTGATTATTTAATTCATTGAGAATTCTGGCTGGGCTCAGCTGGGTGGTTCTTCTGGTCTCTGCTGGGCTCTTGAGTGTGCTGTGGTCAGCCATTTGTAGATATGGACTGGCAGGTCCAGAATGGTCTCCACTGGGCTGGTTCACCTCTGTTCCATGGGTCTCTCATCCTCCAGCAGGCTAGCCTGTTTGTTCATAAGGTGACCAGGCCAGTACCATGGAAAGTCGGTGGCAGTGTGCCAAGAGTCTTGAAACCTAAGAGATCTGGTACACTGCTGACTTCTACCCCATCTGTTAGCCAAAACCCATGTCCAAAAACTGGCCTAGATTTAAAGGTGGAAAACTAGGCCAAGAGGGGACCTGGCGTGTCACATTATTCAGAATATGGACTCAGAGAAGGTAGATGTTCGAGGCCGTATGTCTAAACAGTCTGTTGTACCTGGTGTGATAGGATTTCTTTTCTTTTTTTTTTTTTTAAATATGTTTTAGTTGTTGATAGACATTTACTTTATTTGTTTTTATTTCTATGTGGTGCTGAGAATTGAACCCAGTGCTTCATGCATACTAGGCAACCACTCTACCACTGAGCCACAATCCCAGCCCTGTGTGATAGGATTTCGTAAGAACTGAATACAAAAAAGTATTAAGCAAAGCATTAATAATCGTAATAATCTTGCAATCACTAATGCTGCGGTAGCGTATGGAGGTGGCAGCCCTGGGAGGCAACATGTATGCCTTCCAGGAAGAGGAACGAGAGCTGGGAGACTGGAGGACCACGGTACCGCGGTGCTGCGGCTCGTGGACCTGCTCCATGGCCCATGCCCTGCTCCATTTCTGGTGCCAACTCTAGGAACAGAGAGGAGGAGAACGTGGCCACATGAGAGGACTAGGTGGGGTGGAGGGGGACATGGTTGCAGGAGCTGAGCTCATGTGGGTGTCAGCTATTTGTGCTCCTTAAGGGACTGCCACAGTATGTCACACTTAAGTGGGGGTGGAGGTTCTTTGCACCAGATGAGAAGTGAAACCATCCTTGGAAAACGAATGTCAGTTCCCCAGCTGACCTGGGGGTGCGGGAGAGCCACCTCTTTCTGTTGCAGACCCTTCTCTCTATCACCCTGTAAGTCCTTCAGCTCCTGCCCCCATCGTCAGAGGGAGTGGTGCCAAATCCCTGCCTAGTAAGCTGAAAGTCATGACCAAGGCAGCTACGACCCTCCCCAGGCACTGGGATGCCGGCCCAGCCGGATCCAGGTTCACAGGCTCTATCTACTCTTCAGCTTTTCATGGACCCCATTTTTTTCTGAAATAACCTCTAAAGTTGGCTCAACTGACTCATCTTTAGGAAAACTGAATGAACAAAGTAACAGTATTTGTACTTTTATGATATCAGCTTGAAAATATCCTGCATATGATTTGTAGCATGATACAGCTGTAAAGTAGTTGAATTTTCATCTAAAAGCAAGAATGAAGCATGGATCTGTGCTGTTGCATTGTTTGATGCTGTTGTAGATTTTTTTAAATTTATTTTTTAGTTGTAGTTGGACACAATAACTTTATTTTATTTATTTATTTTTATGTGGTGCCAAGGATCAAACCCAGGGCCTCGCACGTGCTAGGCGAGTGCTCTACCGCTGAGCCAGGACCCCAGCCCACTGTTGCAAGTTTTTGTACACATACACAAAAATTGATACAAACAAAAGATACACACATTTTCAGCCAACAATGAGCCATAGGAGCAAAGCGTTATATGCTGACCTCATAACTTTCTAGTTCAACGTGGCATTTTGATGAATGGACACCTTTTTACAGTGAAAATAGCTAATTACTAATTTTATTTAATTTTAATGTATGTTTCAGTTTGTTAAGTGTCATAATTAGAACACTGTTAATATTTATTCTCTTATATCTTATTTCTGTCTTTTAAAAATGAATTGAAAATAAGATGTCAGATGTTCTTATAGTATCATGTAAGCTTTATTTTTAAGGATTCTATTTTTAGATGCCATTCAATATCTTTTTTTAGTGTCCCAAATTCTAAAATTAAGAAACTCTGAACATGTGCAATACTATGCCTAATCTCTAAAAAACTATAGGGCAAGCATTTTTGCTAAAACAGCACATTTCCCATAGATCCTTGGGTCGATGTCTTCGACTACTTAGATAACATGCAAAGTTACAGGTGGAAGTAACCTTTAATCTGTTTTAACAGAAACATTCCAAATAATGTTACTTCAAGTCCAACATCCAAACCAGTGACCACAACGAAGCCAGTGACCACAACAAAGCCGGTGACCACCACAACAAAACCAGCCACCATTGTGAACTTGCCGCCTGCTAAGCCAGCTGCTGCACGACCTGTCCCTGCCAAGCCCGCGCCTGCCAAGCCTGTGGCCACCAAGCCGGCCACGGCCCGACCTGCAGTGGTGGCTAAGCCAGCGGCAGCGGTGAAATCTGCAGCTGTGAGACCCCCTGCCCCTGCTGCAAGGCCAGCAGCCACCAAGCCCGAGGCTCCTAGGTCCCAGGCCAAGCCAGCTGCCACCAAGCCCGTTGCTGCCAAGCCCGTGGGTAAGAAGCCCAGCTGGGGCTGCCTTGCTACACCCTCCCAGGCCCCTCTGAGGGTGCCCTTGGAGGCCGATTTGTAGTCGGAATGTGGTTGGTGATCCCCTTGGTGATCTTTGTCCCTGCTGTGAGGCATATGGTCACAGAATAGGGTCTCAGGCTGTGCATTGTGGCAATATTAGGTATTGATTAGGATCTGGGTGATCATCCTTGCCCAAAGACTAACCTGCAAGCTCCTTCTAAACATAGTAAAGATGCGTGTCCGACTCTGACAGGTATGAGAGGTAGCTGGGTTCGAGGCGCCCAGCGTGTGTGGGTTATCTTCCTCAAAGTCGATGCTAAAAGATGCTAAGAAAGTCACCCCTGTAGAGGAACATGAGGCAGAATGTATGTGCTCAGGAAAGGTGGGAATTGCTTTCAGTTCATGAGCAGAATGGAAGCAGAGATCCCTTTAACAGAATTTTATGCTATGCCCTAAAGTTCCATGACTTAGATTTTAAATGGCAAGGCTCATTTTGTCCTGAGCATCTTCCTATAGCTCTCCAGATCTTGCATTTTCAAAGTATCCCCTTAACAATGGAGATTTTCAAAAGGAGGTTATGCACCTTGCTGGTGAGTAATGAGACTTTTAATTATTCTTAGTTAGTGAACTTCATGTTTCACGCATGCTGAGTGTGACAGTATTTCTCAGGAGCTTGAAGGAGAAATTAGTTCAACTTCCAGATCGATTGTGCTGACTGATGGCTTTCAGGTGTCCTCCTCGCCTGGGTGGCACAGTCACACGGGCCCGATTCTTTACCTCCATGCTCTGCTCTGGTCTGTCTTTCAGCTAAGGTGTCCCGAGAAGTCCAGGTATCTGAGATCACCGAGAACAGTGCCAGACTCCACTGGGAGAAGCCTGAGCCTCCTAGTTCTTATTTTTATGACCTTGCTGTCACCTTGGCCCACGACCGGTCCCTGGTTCTGAGGCAGAACCTCACAGTCACCAACCGCGTCATTGGGGGCCTGCTGGCCGGGCAGACCTACCATGTGGTGGTGGTCTGCTACCTGCGGTCACAGGTCAAAGCCATCTACCAAGGAAGCTTCAGTACAAGTGAGTACAGGTGGCCTCACGGGCAGCCTGCTTTGTACCCGGGATACCCAGTGGGACAGAAGGGAGCAATTGTGATGGCATCTATCCTGAAGTACCAGCAACGTTTAAATGGAAAAATAAGAATCCAGGGTGCTTTGGTTACACCCTAAGTTTATAGAGCAACAGAATAGAAGGGGGTTCCATGTGAATGTGCTCTGGCTCTTGGGTTCTGGCTGCTGCGTGGAGGAAACCAGGTTCTCTGTGCCTGAGAGCAGCCTGCTAAGGTGGGGGTCTCTGCTGCCCCACCTGGCCCTGGAAAGTAGCCGCGAGTCACTACCTTCTTAGGGAGCAATGGAGAGACTATGAGGACTCGCTCCCAGGGCAGCGAGGCCAGCAGCCTCTGCCTCCCTGGCCCACCAGTCTCATGCTCTGCCAGCTCCTCCCCATCACTGAAGACTGCCTTCCCAGCCGTAACCCAGGGGCCCTTCTCTCTGTCTTTCTGAGTTCCTTCCTCTTGACCTCCACTGCTCCAGGGAGGTGGGAGCAGGCCAGGCCCCTCTTCTTTTCAGGCCAGTGTGACTCAGATTGGGGGATCACAGGGGGAGGGGGGATCACAGGGGGAGGGGGGTGATTCCCCTTGGCAACCACTGGTCAGGCTCAGCATCCCCAGGAATCAGAGACCTGCCCAACCCTGGCCTTCGGTTTTCTTGGATGCCGTGGAAGAGGTTTGTGGGAGATGAGAGGGTTTCCTCCACCTGCTTGGTAACCCATGTCACCTTGCAGACCACAGCATAAGTAGCACATGGGGACTTCCGAATCCCGTTTCAGTGGCCCACCCTGAAGGCCGCTGTGCCTGGATTGCTGCGGAGTTCTCGGTGGCTGGTTTCTGGTTTGCCTAGGTTTGCATGCATTTTTCTTTTACAGAGAAAACTCAGCCTCCACTTCCACCTCCACAATCAGCAAGGTCAGCTTCTAGTGCAACCATCAATCTAATGGTGAACACAGAACCCTTGGCTCTTACTGAGACAGGTAAGCTACAAAAATGAGGTGCTCTGGGGGCACTCGGGGAATTCTTCCAAGAATTTTAAAGTTTTCAAAGTCTTGATTCTAGCTCCTCTCCCTGGGTCTAGTTCCCATGACCTCTATGGGGAAAGTTCCAAGTTGGCTCTGAGAGGCCCAGATGGTGTCAGTCTGCATGTTCCCAGCTGTAAATGAAGCTGTACCTTGCCTGCCACCAGATTTGCAGAGGAAATTGGGTGGGAGTTGCTTCTAAGGCTCCAGGCCGAATCCTCTGTGCGTCGTTGGAGACTCAAGTTGATGGTGGTCTATGGTGGTGTGAAGAGAGGGCTTTGTCCCCTCCATGATTCACTCCCATAAATGAAACTGCTTGGGAGAAAACAGGATGGTCCAGATTGGAGCCGTGAGATGCCTGGGTTTGAATGTGACCCCTGGGGTGCTGTGGTCCCAGGTCCTGAGCACACAGCCTGGGCTTGCTCTCGTGTCCTGCTCTCTCGGGTGCCTGAGCCCAGGTGTGCCGCTCAGCTAACATTTATCGGCGACTGGGCAGCCATGATTTGGGTACACACAGCTGTTGCTGGCCTTGTTCGTCCTTGAGAGATGATCACTAAAGAGGTCACTGTTTTGCCTAAGTGTATGCAGCAAAAGATTTGGCACTAACATAAAAACAGTGCCAAACTCCACTGGGAGAAGCCTGAGCCCCCTAGTTCTTATTTTTATGAGCTTGCTGTCACCTTGGCCCATGACCAGTCCCTGGTTCTGAGGCAGAACCTTACGGTCACTGACCGTGTCATTAGGGGCCTGCTGGCCCAGCAGACCTACCCCGTGGTCTTCCATGGGATTTTAGGTGTGATATTGTTTTACAGACCCCAAAGCATAAGTTTCTGCTACATATGGGAACATACGAGAACAATTCAATCACTTTTGCTGTGTCACCCCATTCAGGAGGAGGACCATCTCGGGTTACAATGGGTACTTCTGTAATGAATTCTGATGGAGGGGAGGGTGTTTGTGACTGGTTTCATGCTGTGCTAGATTTAGGAGCAGCTGAGGCTGTGTGAGAAGTCAGCAGGTGGCATAGATTTAATATGCATTGAGAGAAGCAACAGCACTTTATTATTCTGAACTATCTTGTGTGGTTCTTGGATCTGTCTTGTATATTCCTCATTTTACTCTTTCCACTGTAAGTCTCTGAAATGATGCTCATTTCTCTACCTCATGCTTCTGTAGGGGATGCATCCCATTTCATCTATTTAAATCAAATTAGATGGTTCTGAGCATTTTGTAACTCCTCCACACCTGCCTCTTTGGGGCCGCTGGGCAGTGGAGGCCTCCTGTCAGAGTGCTTTCTTCCAGTGACAGACCTTCCCCGTGTCCACACACACCAGCATGTTCACAATCCCCGCATACAGGACCGTCTGTAGAGATGCCAAGCACAGAGTTACTAGGAGGGTCACTGAGTCACGCGGGAATTGTGGCTGTTACACACTGGAGTTTAATAAGGGCTGATAAGTGACCTACTTTCAGAACTGAATACTGTTGAATTATAGTTTGCCTTTGGAGACAAGTTGAGCAATCGGTCTGTCAGAATGGCCACGTGTCTTTTAAACTTCTTTCACCTTTTAAAAGGAAAGGCTGGTAGAAAACTAGGACATTCTCTCCTCACTATAAACTTATGGAAATAAGCCAGGTGTTCTAGTAGATGGGGTAATAAAGTTTTAGCTTCTTAGAGATTGTATAAAAAGACTGGACAAAAGATTTTAATGCTGTGGTTTTCAACTCAAGCTAAGAAGCTGGAGCTAGGCACATGTGATGTCGGTAGGGCTGGGAGAAGACTCAAGTTTTGATTTCTGTTCATAAGCAGCTTCCTGAGTCCTGCATCAAAGGACTGTCAAGGAGCCACTGCCCCTGTCCTGCAGCTCCAGTTTCTGAGCCCCACAAAGGCTTCCCAGACAAGAGGATTGACCTCAAAGGGAAGTTGCAAGGAATACACCAGATTCCTCCAAAACATGAACAGGGCAGATCCAGTGCACTCTCCGAGGCGCTGAAGTCTCAAGCCCCCACCCCAAGCCTAGGGCTGACTCCGTCCCTGGTAGTGGAGGTTGTAAAATGTCTCGCAAACTTTTGCTTCATTGAGAGAACATGACTTGGAGTAACCACAAGTCGGCAAGCCTGTGGAAGTTTCTGGTTCTCGTATGTGTGGTCCAGAAGGATCAGCATGGATAAACAGCGCTGAGCTAACATACACAACATAATCTTGAAACACAAATCTGGTGGGGCCGTTTTTGTTTTTTCTGGTGGAGTTGCAAGTTTCAGAACTAGGAGACTGTCTTCCAGCCAGACTCCCAACGCAGGCACCTCCTCCCCACATGATAGAGAGAGAAGAGGTGTTGAGATGGCAGCCTGGGCTTCCCTCAGGCTGCAGGGCGTCTGACACACTGAACCCTTGACACTGGTGGGTCCCGTCACTCAAGCGCGTGTTCTCTGACCATGTCACGTGTGTTGTGCACGTGCCTTCGTGTGAATTTCCCACTCAGATAGCATGGAGATGCAAGCTCCCTGCCTTTCTTAAGAGCAAGGCCCTGCACCATTGATCTCTGCAGCCCGCACAGAGGTAGAACAGCGCTCTGCCGGGAGAAGGTATTCAGTTCACGTTGGCCATGATCATTGGGTGTGCCTACACATGCATGCCACTCTTGGGAGCTTTTTTTTGAATTAAAGTAATTGGATGTTTACTTCAAAATGATTGAAATCCAAGATGGACAGCAACAGCAAGGAAGGGGTAACTAGAATTAAAGAGATGAAAGTGGTCTTCCCTTCTCCCCAACCTCGTCCCCTGCCCGGCTTATCCTCTTCGACACTTTCTCCAGCCGAAGTAAAATACTCTAATAATATTTATATATTTTGGAGTTGAAGAAGGGAGTGTCAATTAATCACTCCTTATTAAATAACTTTAAAAATAGAGTAACTACACTCTGTAGTTGCAGGTACAATTTGTATCCAATTATTTAATGATCACAATATGCATTATTTCTCCAAGATGTATTTTCTAAACATCTCAGGCAAAATTAAGTTTTAAAACCAGCTTTCCCAAATGGACATGCATGCATTTTAATTTATTTTATCTTATGGACCATTAACTTATTACAAACTCAGTTTAGATTCACAAAGGTGTGTCTCTTTCTCCGTGTGAAATGTTAGCAATTCTTTACTTCCATGAATAAAAGATTCCATCCTGACAACCTGCATTTTTGCCCGAGTTTACCATTTTGGACCCATGTTTGAGTCCATTTAGAAATTGGTGGGCAAGGACACAATGAAATGAAAGGCCCTGGCCCTAGGCATCTAATTCAGGGGAAGGAGATGACCAACAGTAATATTTGAGCTTTCCATTGCGTATATTAACGTTTTCCTGTTATAAAAGCCACATTTTAAGAGAATTTTGTTTTTGCTTTGATGCTAGGGGTTGAGTTCAAGCTAAACACAAGCTTTACATTGAGCTACACCCCCAACCCAAGAGATGCCTGTTTATGGAGAATTTGACAGACACAGGCACATATGTTGGACAGAGTGGCTACGGGATTCTTTGTCTCCCACATAAGGCCTGGCCCTGTTTGGTCTAGAGGGAAATGGCTGCCTGCAAGACCCTGAGTGTAAGACCCTGACTGGCGACAAGGGTTGGTTCCACTAGGGGGACAACAGCCCCATTACCTGCCATTCAGGATCCTAGGTTTCGCAGTACTACATGATTCTGTTTGAAATGGTTAACGTTTTCTTTGCGGTACTAGGGATTGAATCTAGGGTGTCCCACGGCTGAGCCACATCCCCGCCCTTTGTATTTTTTATTTTGAGACAGGTTCTTACTAAGTTGTTCAGACTGACCTCCAATTTGCAATCCTCTTGCCTCAGCCTTCCAAGTCACTGGGATTATAGGTGCGTGCCACTGTGCCCAGCAAAACTTGTATTTTCTAATTTTAAACAAAGTAAAATTAACCCTCTTCCTCCGTCCAACACAAAAAAATCCCTTTCTACCTTTTGCTTTCTTCAGCACCTAAAACGTCACACCCCAGCCCTTTCCTGGGGTCCATGTGTTGCCTGCAGATATGGCCATTAGCTAGAGGTGATGGGAAGATCTCTCACTCGCGTCACAGCCTAAGAGCATCGAGAGTTCATACCAGGCACCGAGCACCGAGCCTCAGGCTTTGTCACCAGGACAGCTGACAGTACCATGTGCTGTCAATTTTGGTTTTAGGGTTTGTTGCCACCTCTCCCCTCCCTCATCTAATTTTGGCTAAGGAGGCTTTGTATAGAAGTTTAGATGTTACCAAAGGCACCTCTCTGAGGTGCCCAAACAAAATCAAAGCCAGGAAGGTTACATTATGCAATATTACAAAAAGAGTCCTAAACTATTGGCTTACCCATATGAGTTAAGGAAGAGTCCAACGCAGAAACTCACCAAAATAATTAACATTCTGTGTTACTTGTTCTAGACATTGGCAGTCTGTGAACTGGTCACGTTTTGTCCGAGCAGACGTCACCGGGCCAATCATACAGCTCTGGAGGAGCTCTCATTTTTGTGGTCACCCATCTTTTACTTATTTTATTGACTGTAAGGTGCACGTTTCCCCTCATTGTAACACTTCTGAAACTGAAATGTGACTTACAACTGACCACATATCCTGCCTGGCTGGTAGTATTCTGGGAACATAAAATAGCATTGCATCTTAAAATTAAGATTTCTTAGTCCTGATGAAACACAGTATTTGGTTAGCCAAGTTCCCCTGTGGATATAGATCACTGTTTAGCACAAGATGAAGTGGTGGGGGAAAATCTGACTTTTAATAATAATTGAAAGAACTGAACCTCACAAGTTCAGATAAACAGCTGTAAATATTTGCTCTACTTGGTTGAAGAGAAGCTGCTGTCTTCAAGATGGTCTGTCCGTCTCTGCTTCGGAGTGTGACCATCAGTTGCAATGCTCAGGCCAGATGCTCCCCGAGGGTATTTGGTTTTCTTTCTTTCTTTTTTAAATTGTGAATAAATGTGCGCCATTTGGGGCATCCTCCAGGAGGAGAGGAGAAAGGCCCGGCAGACAGCTGGCCTGGCTCTCAGGCCTGCGGGGCGCCCGCGGTGAGCGGAGAGCTTGTCCAGTGATCCGCAGTCTTGCCTTGCTCAGTTCCCTGCACAGCACCCTCGAGGCCCCTGACACATTCGAGAGGAAGAAGGTGGTTGTTGTAAATTGTCGCCATTTTATTCTGCGTCTTTGGGCCTTGGAAAGCTCTCGGTGTGGCCCCTGGCTCTCTCCACCTCTGAAAGGGTCTGCATCTGGGAGGTGTGGATGAAGAGCTGGCAGCCCTCAGTCTTGTGGGACAGCCTCCCCTCAGCAGCCAGGGTCATTGGAGACAATTCTGAGCCTCGTCCTGTGCAGCTTAGAGTCTGCTGCATCACAGCTGACCCAAGATCTGATGGCAACCCCGAGACTTTGGGTTCTTTTCCCTCTTGTGCTGGTCACAACTGCAGATGCCCACACTGCCCCCACCCCACAGCTGTGCCTCGCTAGGGATCAAGGACAGTGGGATGGCCGCTGTTCTGGGCAGAGCTGGGAGATTTAGGCTCATGAGCTACTCACACAAACACGCAGCCTCATCCACCCCAGGGAGTTTTGTCCAAAGGAGGTTTACATTTTTCAAACTTTCAGATAACAGTTGACATCCGTGTATCTCTTCTGGAGTTTGCCTGAGAACTCTGTAAACAGACAACAGAGTGTGCCTGAGCTGCCAGCTCTCCTCTGCAGGCCGGGAGGGACCGTGGCCTGCTTGACTTCCTCAGCAGGAGGAAGAATGCTCCTCGGTGGCGTCTTCACGGTGGTGAATTCTGCTCAGTGGTAGTTCTTTGAACTTGTTTGATTTGGCAGGTCTCGAAAAAGCTCAGCTGCACACGTGTGTGAGCACACGCACATTCTTACAGGTTCTTCATTCCCACTTTGCCTTTGATTTCCAGTCTACTTGGCTCGCAGTGAAGTGAGCAGCTTTATTTTTGAGCTGTTATTTAGATGCCGTTTTCCCAAGGAATGGGAAGCTCCACATGGTTTAAATCAGTTTCTTCTCTGAGGAATTAGCATAGAAGGAATCAGGGAGTCAGCGGTCTCGTGAGTGGGAAGAGGATCAGCCGTTCATCTTGTTTCCAGTTTCCGAGGAGGAGAGCTAGCATTTGGGATTCCAGTGTCGTCCGTGAACCATGGGGAGGCTTTGTTCATTCCTTGCAAAGCTGAGTGATTATTCTGTCCCCATGTCAGCGGGGACACAGGCTCAGTCAGGGGAAGGGGCTTTTCCTCGTGGAAACTGACCTGTTTTCCTGGCCCAGTGTTCTGGTTAGACTGCAGCCTGGCCGTGGGGGTCACCGGAGCCTAATGGAGGCCCTTCTCTCCTGTCACTGCAGATATATGTAAGCTGCCCATGGAGATAGGCACCTGCAGGGACTTCAACCTCAAGTGGTACTACGACCCAGGCACCAAGAACTGCGCCAGGTTCTGGTTCGGAGGCTGTGGCGGGAACGAGAACAACTTTGAATCACAGGAACAATGTGAAAAAGTTTGCGGTCATGGTAAGTGATTCTCTGTGATTGGCTGCCACAAATAAGAGAGCCAGGTCGATAACTGCCCCTTGAGGAATATTTGAATTACAGTGATTGTGATACAAATGAAAAAAGATAAACTGTATCTTCAGATAAGGATACAGAATAAGCACAATTTAAAATTTTACAAACCTCTGTGAATTTAATTTTTCAAATTACATTTTTTTTTCTAGAAACATACTTGTTTTTTTTTTTTTTTTTTGCCAGTGGAGAGACACATGGCCAACTACTTACCACTCTTCAGAAATGTTACCAAGTCCCCGTTACTCAACATATTGCACCAAACATGTTTATGAGAAAAATAATATCATGATCAATTAGAAATAACACCAAAGATAAATCCCCCCATGTCTTATCTTTAAGTAATCTCACTTTCTGCAAATAACAATGCTGCCTCTGGGCCCATCCAATATATGTCCATCCCCTTGGGCAACGTACTTGGTATTTGAATTAAGCAGCCGGGCAGAGGCCTGGGGTCAGTGCACAATGGGCATGAAATCCAGGTAGATGACTTGGGGAGGGAGTGTGGACTCTGAGGGCACAGACAGCCCCAGGCTGCAGCCCAGCAGGTCACGGGGTACCAGGGACGTTCCTGAACAGGCAGCGTGAAGGGGTGAACAGCAGAGTTTGTGGGGTCATGTCCTGGTGAGTGCACGTCCTTCTTGGTCAGTGATGTGCTTCCCCATCCTCTTCTCTCCCCCACGCTCAGTGCTCACCAAACCTGGAGTCATCGACGTGGTTGGCACCTAAGCGCTGGCGCGACGCATACCTCTGAGATGGAGTGGCCTTTCCAGCTGTCTGTGCAGAAGCTCTGGGGAGCCCGGCACTGTGCTATTTCATGCTTCGAGTGACACTCGAATCTGGAGGAAACTTCTGCCTTGCGACCTGTCTGTCAATATGGTGCTAAACGAGTCTGTGGACCCCTCGCTCCTCGTCTCCTGCCGTGACGTCTGCACTGGGAACTTGTGACAGCTCTCCACCGTGGGCCACGTGTGAACATTCCTGGTGCAGCCCCCCCGGGGCTCCAGTGGCCTAGAGCGTCACACCCCACGCCACAGCTTCTCCACCTGCTTACGCTTGGTTCATTTCCTCCTTAGTTAGATGCAGAGACAAGAGCCAACCTTTTCATCCCCAATTTCCTGGATTAGGCTTTGAGCTGATTTCTTCTTCTCAACCCTCTAACAAGTGCTCTAGTTAGAAGAAAGCAGAATCCCCTGACCTGTGTGCACTGTTGGGACCAAAGCCTTAATTAAAGAATTCAAAGCAAGCCATGATAGGGAATATTTTTGGCATTCCTCTAATGTTGTTGTTTTTATTTTGAGTGAGGGGTGGGGTTTAATTATAATTTTAAAATGTTTAGGAAATTTATACAAAGAAACTTTTTAATAAAGTATATTGAAAGTGTTGTGCTTTGGCCCTTGGCTGTCTTGTGTCCAGAGCAAGGATTGTCAGACTCACCCCAGGGTCATAAGGTGTGGCCCCTGCCTGGCCTCTGGTCCCGGGCACCACCCTTTGGTTCCAGGCTGTGCTGGGTGCTGTGCCAGGTGGGCGGCTGGCACAGGTGGATCCAGCCACAGGTGCACAGCCAGGAGCCCTGGAGCCTTCTCATTTCAGGAGCGCAGGCTGCCCTGCTCTCTGTCCTCCAACTTTGAGTTGACCAGAGCCTCAGCCTCCTACCCGTCCACATCTACAGTGACTCTTCCCTGGGCTTGGCTTGCTCCTGCCTCAATGGCTGAGAGACAGGAGGTTTCCCTTGGAATCTTTTCCTCCTACCTTCAGAAATAACCCACAACACACACACACACATGCTCGCAGCACCTGAGAAAAGGGAATGTGTCCAGCAAAATGCCTGCAGCCCGATGGTGCTGCAGGTGGACTCCAGGACCTGGGGGAGCAGAAGGAAGACGTCTTGAAGGGTGGCTTTGCCACGTGGCCTGTGGGAGGGCAGACAGCAGGAGGAAGGGTGGGGCATGCAGAGCTGAGGGGTTGCAGGATCCCCAAGGCCCAGGATGCCCACCAGGATCCTGGAAGGAAAGTTCTAGACTCTTGGAGTTTGGGGGCACCTTTGTAGAAACTGGGGAGGGATTGAGCTTTGTGGCCACGTCAGTGTGTGAGAAGCCAAGGATGCTGTGGGCTGAGCTCTTCTGGAATTCGTGGGACTCCCGGGAAGGACTCGAGGCTTTGTGGCCCATGAGGTTGGGGATTTGAGTGTACCTCATTTCGTTGGGACCGGAGGCCCCAGTAGAACACCGGGGCAGCTCCAGTGGAATGAAAGCTCTGGGGACCCTTCAGGAGCCCTCATGGGCAGGTGGTCTCACCTGGTCTTTGAGGCATCCTGGGATGCCCTTCCCCAGCACCACTGAGTACCAGCGCCACAAGCTGCCCCTTTATTCCCATTGGCCCTTCCAGTTCTGGGTCAGGCCTGACCCCTTGTCTTTGAAGACCCCTATTTTAGCATCCAGTGGACCCACCAGAGCCCCTCAAAGGATTTTAGTGGTAGGCACGAAACGGGCATTTGGGGACTTTCTCAGGGCCACCACCACAGTACCTGAGCCCCCAGGTGAATACGCCCGGAGCCTCCCTTGGGCCGCGTGTCCTCGACCGAGCTCATGGCCCGAGCAACGGTCTGAGTGAGCAGGTGGGCTGCAGGGCTCGAAGCCGTCTGCCTGGGTGGGCAAGGGCTGCCGTCACAAAGGGCCCAAAAGGGTGGTTTAAGACAACAGAAGTCAGTTCTCACCGTTGTCAAGGATGGCGGTTCACAACCAAGGTAGGTGTGAGCCAAGCCCCTGAACCGCAGGGGGAGGGTCCTTCCTTGTCCTCGTTCCGTCCCCGTCCCTTTCTTTCCTTGTCTCTTCCTTCGGTGGTGGCTGCCACCTTGGTGCCCCGGGGCTTCCAGTGGCAGCACACGGTCTGTGACTTTGAGGTCACGGGGCTGCTCTTTGTGCCTCTGTCTCCACGCGGCGTCTTCCTGTGAGGATGCCAGTCAGGCTGGATGGCTCCCGCCCCGGCTTAGCACGTCCCAGTCTTAGCTACGCCTGCACTGACCATACTTCCAATAAGGCCCCATCCTAAGGTATTGTGGCTTAGGACTTTTCTTTAACTGTGTCACTATTCCGCCTTTGGCACAGCCTGAGCCTCCCCAATATCAGCTCCCAGCTTTGCTGTGCTGGTCTGCGGCTGGCAGGCTGGTAGCAGCCCCGTGGTGAGCTCTTGGCCAGATTCTGCCACCCCTCGTCATCCTCGGTCCGCAGAACTGTCACCACTGGACCTTCAGGCTGAGTCCTGGGCGTCTCCGACACCTCACATCCTGCTCCCAGCACAGGCGAGACGCGCCCTGGAGGGAGCTCAGGCCGCCCTCGGCCCCCTTCTCCGGCAGGTGGTGGAGTTCCACGCTGCAGCTCTGAGCTGCACTCCCAAGGCAAGGGCTGAGCGGGGCCATTGTTGCCGCTGCTCTCTGGCCCTGCTCGGCCCGTGGTCCCACCTGCGGCAGGTGGCCGGAGCCGACGCCCTGGGGAGGTATATTCTGGGGAATCAGCAGGGGCCTAGCCTGGGGGAGCTGGCTGTGGGTGAATCCTCCCCCTCCTGTAGGTCGCTGCCAGGGAAGCCCCCCACAGGCTCTTGGCACTGAGTTCCTTCACCCAGTAGCCCAGCCTCCGGAGGCAGGGGCAGTGCGAAGCTGGCATCCAGCTGCTTGTGGGCTCCCTGGGAAAGAAACATGTCTCGTACCTCCAACTCTCTGCTTAGCCACTGCTCTCTTTCCACGGGGCCAGTGGTTGGGTGGGCACAGCGTAAGCTGGTCTCCAGCCCTTGACGCAGTGGTGGTGGGGAGGAAGGAGTCAGACCCTGTCCTGCCTCGGGCCCTGAGTCTTTGAGGGTGGTCTTAAGGCCTGCTAGGGCCTTGGCTTCAGGGAAAGCATCAGGTGAATGTCTGTCCTCCTCCACTGGAGGTGAAGGACGTGTGTGGCCTCTGTGCAGAACTCTGCTCTGCCATTTTGAAGCCACGGGGACCTTTCCCCTTGTCTTCTTCTGTCTCAGCAGTTACTGGGGAAGTGTCAGTTCAGGGCTCTGAGCTGTGGCCCTTGGTGAGCCACAGGGAGAACAGGGTCCCCCAGGCACCCAATGTCAACCCTGTGGAACTTCAGGAGCAGAGAGTCGCGTACCTCCGCCACGGGCTGAGCCCTGCCTCGCCCCTCGTGGTCTTCCCTGATGGTCAATCTGCCTGGACATCATGTGGCCTGTGTTATCAAAACCTGGTTCCCCCAAAAGCAGACTCTGAACTGCGGGTTCAGTTTCCTGGGAGGCGTGAAGAAGCCACTGAGCAGATGATTCAGGAGTGAGTTGGGGACAGGAAGGCCACTGTCACCATGTGCGGGAGCTTGACTCTCTGTTGTTGGAGCTCAGTGGAGGGGTGAGGGAGCCGGGGTCTTTTACACCCACTGCCCTGGTGGCTGGTGGCCCTGGAGGGTGGCCATTGGTTCCTCTGCTTGTGCGGACCCTGGCCCCAGGCCTCATGTGTAGGAGCATGCACGTGGCCCAGAGGCTCACATACGCAGCCTCTAGAGCCAGGGAAGTGGTCAGACCCACTGACTGTCTCCATGGCACTCTGAGACCTGTTCCAGGCGTGCCACAAATACGCTGGGTGGGGCCACTGCTGGAGGACTCACTTGAGGTGCTCCAGAGACAGGCCCCCTGCCGCCAGCACGCCACCCCACCCCTGGGTTTCAGTTCACTCCACCTGTGCTCTGCTCTGTACCTGTCCCTGGGCTGCTCGAGGATGCTGGAGTCTCAGTTGAGTAGGAGATGACACACTCCAGGTAGATGGCTGGGTGAACTGGCTGTGGGGGAGATAAGGCACTGGGCGGTAGATGGGCAGGGGGTCTACAGACCCAAGAGCGTCCTTGGGGGCTGCCGGGCAGAAGGTGTCTGTCATGCCACATACTGTGGGGCCAATACCCAGTGCAGGGCTGTGTCACTGGGAATGCCTGATGAGAGAGGGAGACTAATGGGGTCAGGGCAGAGTGGCTCCCTGGAGACCTGCCGCTGAACCTGAGGAGGGAGGAAACGGAGCCAGAAGTGAAGTTCCACCCTCAGAACAGGGGAGGGAGAGAGAAGGCGGAACTGGGAGCGAGAATATGACAAAGCTCTTCTTATGGCTTGGAACTCTTCAGGGGAAAGAGGGACAGGCCAGAGACAGGGACAGCAGGGGCCTGGGGAGGGAGGGGCTCTGACAAGAGCTCTTGCTGGCGGGAAGTGGGACTTGCTGGGAGGTGAGCTGGCGCGGAGGCGGACCGGCCTCTGACGTGGGCACAGGAGGGCAGGCAGCTGGCCTCCGCCAGGGCTGGGGCTTCTCCAGGTGGATTTGATAAAGAGAAGGGCAGGTGTGGGGTCTTCCAGGGATGGTCACAGTGGTGGATCTTGGGATCCTGGGAGGGGAACGTGCTGCAGGGGTAGGGGGACTCTGGTTACCCGTGGGGACAGGCGGGGTAACTGTCCACATCAGCGACGGAGGTGGGGTGGAGGCTAAGAGGCCCCAGAACTGAGGAGCGAGGGTGAGTGGATTGTCCTTATGAGGACTGGGATCGGCTGGGATGGACTGGGGGGGGGACCACGGTAGACAGGGAGACGGGCAGGTGGTGGCTGACGAGAAGTCGGTGGGGTTCACCCAATGGCGAGTTTCAAAGATCCTGGGGTTTGAAGAAGGGCAGGGGTGGGCTTGGGAGCAAGAGTGGACGCAGAGGACACGCATCCCTGTTGCTGGTCTTCTCATGAGGTGTTGTGACAGAGCCTGGGGTTACCGAAGATGCCACAGAGCACTGCCGGTGGGTGGCGAGGGCTGTGAGGGGAGAGACGGGGCAGCGAGTTCCCGGGGAACTGCCCTCCGCCTGGTGGCTTGCTGGGCCCATAGACTGGAGCCCACTCTTCTCCCCTCGGACCCTCACGGCCGCCCTGCCCCTTGCTCCACACCATTTCCTGATGCTACCTGCATGTCCCCAACACCTTCTGCTACCTCCTCCAGGCCCTGTGCACCAAGGGTGCTCCTCTTGGGCGACCCCAGCAGCTGGGAGCACCCAGAGGATGATGCCCCAGCCTTCAAGAGCGGCTTTGGCCGCCACGGAAGGAGGTGGTCCTCCTGCCACTTCCCCACCAGGAAGGACTTTCTTCCGTTTCTGTCTTGTTTTACCTTTGTCAACCAGGTACTTTAAGCTAGAACATATTTTGGTGTGAAAACCACACCCTTTGTCAATTTTAGCTATTTTACCGTCTGCACTGAGCTGTTCGGTCGGTCACTTGTCTCCAGCTCCACAGCGTTAGTCTCAGGGTCAG